AATAGCACATTATATCATCCGAAAGGAGGGGAGACATGTACCTTAAATGAAAGGTTTGGATAAAGGCGGTTGTATCACCTCTTTTCCACTATTCCTCCTCTCATCCGTCCTTGGTGTTCTCCATAGCCAGGCTTCGCGGGAGCAACTGTTAGGCTCTCGAGAGAGGCTAGCTCGCTAGAGCAGTCATGGTGGTGGTATGATGTCACGGCAGATCTCTGTTCCAGGAGTTTTTATTCCTCTTGCTCTTCATTTCTTATATTTTAAGGGTTTGTACTTAATGAATATTTTTGTGATGATGTTAGTCGCACCATAAACCCCTTTATTTCATATTAGAAATGATTGGATGATATTTTATTTTATGGTTAATGAATGATCAAGTATGTTTTTATTCATTGTTGTTTTGTTCTCTGTTTTCACTGAAACATATTTATTAATTTATTAGAAAAATAACTCCCAAGATGAATCGATTAATGGAAAATAGTTCGCATAACTAAAAATTATTTGATAAACTGCAATTGCTTAATTAACTCAAAACAAAATAGTTTAGTACAAAATAATAAAATAGTTCGCATAACAAAAAATATTTTTATTAACTTAGAATAAAATATTTTAGTACAAATATTTCAGTTTTGAATAACAAAATAAATAATAGCTAATAATACTTATGTCCACTAGTTCTGCATCATGGTGGACGACGAGTATGACGCGGATGTAATTGCGGTTCATCTTCTTCTTCAGTAATATCATCATCATCAGTATCGAAAGCTGTATATGGAATCAATCCACCACTGGCATTGGAACTGGGACCGATGTAGAATATGCTATGCGTCATCGTTTGTTCAACAATACTGGATCTAAAGTTAGCCACTAATTGTGTTGTTGGTGAATTGAATTGGCCAAAGACGTCGGTGCGGAAACCTTCCAAGAACTTCCCCATTTGCTGAAATGTTGATTGAGTCGAGTGGGTGAAGACAGGGTCAGGGTGTGTCAGCGGTGTCCGAGGAAGTCCTGGTGTTGTTTCCGATGAGGAGGATGCACCTTTTTGTCTTCTTCTTCTTCTTCTCTTCCTTTACTCCCCCCACTTTGCCTCCTCGTCCATGGGCGACTCTGTGAAGGAATATATAATTTTCGCGCTCGATCCTCATTGGTGTCACTGTAGTCGAAGATGGGTTGAGTCATGGGTGTCCTCTCGAATCTTCGAACCCACTCGTTCAGATACACCACATTATGGTCCGCCCAATTATTTTGCATATTCCCTTGTCAATTCAATCGATCCAACTAATCCAAGTAAGGTGGATGTGGCAGAATCGATTAGACAGAGTTAAATTGCCAATGGACGCGCTCGGAAGGATGACACTCGAATATTTCATACAAGATCAGTGGGACTGACAAAATGTACATGGGCGCATTAGTCACCCGAATCTCATGCAGTATACAATCGGCAACAGCAACATCGCAATAAGGCGTCCACAAGAACTATAAAATTAAAATTACATAACTTTGTTAACTTAAAAACTCAAATAAATTAAATTATTATAAAATTATAAGATAAAAGTTATAGGAAAAATATTTATTACTTGATGTCAAAACTTATCGATCAAGAGTATGAAGTCTCATTGATGTGTTGGTAAATGGGCGTGGGATGTTTCATCAGTCCGCAACAATAAACACCCTCCAATGACATTTTTCATCGGATCTATGGCTCTACAAAGTCGCTGAAACAAAAACGCCAAAACTGTCGACCCCAACCTATATTTCTTGAATCACTCAAATTTTACAAATGATTCAACTATATGGGCACGAGAAAATCACTTCAAAAAATTAATAAAACAATATAAGTACTTAATTTCCAAAATATTCATAAATAAAAACATTTATATTTACATCTTTCGCTTCATGCTCCGTATTCTGGGGTAGATTCGTAAAATTCTAATCCAAAAATTTAATTTTTATTTTTTATCATTACGTGCGTCATCAGACGGATCAATTCCGATCAATACCTCACATACGTTTCTAGGGGTATTGACAACACTAGTAATAATTACTCCATCAATAGGCAGTCATAGATGAAATGCAACATCTTACAGGGTAATAGTTGCCTCCCCACACGGTAAATGAAACGTGTGCGTCTTTGGTCTCCATTTTTCCACCAACACATTTATAAGTGGATGATGCAACTTCACACTGTCACCAGTTATACTACTCATATATCCGAAACTCGCTAAATGTAAATAGTCAATAATATCCACATCGGACGATGTCACACAATTTATATGACATTATAATATACGCTCATATCTCTACAAAATAAAGATATTTAAATACCAAAACAAATAGACTAATTCAATAAATAAATAGTAAAAGTATAAAATAATATTAATTAATTTATCTCGTCATTTCACCTCCAATAATTGAATAGGTGACTTCGATCATGTCTTAATTGACTCACCGTCATGATATGAAATATTTGAATATATGAAAGGGATGGATGTGGTGATTAATAAGAGTGGAGGATCTTATTTATAGCCCTTCTCGCACCTAAGGAAGCGGTTTTAAATGCAACTTGAGTCTTATAAAAACATTTCCCATTACCTCGAGAAATTTATTCCGTTTCTAGTACCTCGCAATTTGTAAGACGTGAGATTACTTTATCTTTAAATTTTAAAATATATTATAATTATTATATTATTAATTATATTTAATATTTTACACATATAATTTTTCAATATTTCAAAATTTACAAAAATATATTATAATTTTTTTTTATAAAATATCTATTTTAATTACTATATTTGTATATTATTCTATTTTAATTATCGATTATATTTAATAATTAATGTTATTAATTATTATTATTATATTTATTTATTTTATTCATTTAATTTCTACGTTTTAAATTAGGCTGTTATACGAAATTCGAAAGAACCTCGCGCTTTGCAGGCTGCGAGGTCCTTCATAAAACTTGCGATATTTTGTATCATAAAGGATACATCGCGCTTCGCAATGCGCGAGGTCAATTTATCCAATTGTTTTATTTATTTACCTGAAAAGTATGTCCACGTAAGATGTATTTCGTGTGTTGAAGGATACAAAGATTTAACACTAGATTTACAAGTCACGGAGTCGTTTAATGTGGACAATTTAGAGTTGTAATTACAAATAATTTATTGATGGTTCTATTTATTTAAATAATTATTTATTTAAAATTTTTAATATAAAATTACCAATAAAAAACCAATATTAGAAAAAGCAATTATCACTTTGATGAGACAACTTTTAATCAGGTAACAAGCCCTTACCTTTGTTTCTCATACCCCATTTACTCTCTGCACATGCACCCATTTGCCCGCCCCATATAAAAATATTTCCATTATTACTTCATTTCAAAAAAGGTAAAGTAAATAAATGATATTCGATTATAAGATACTATTTTATTAAATGTATTAATTATTAAAAGTTATAAAATAATATTTTAATTATAGAGTGTTATTTTGTTGAGTCTCTCGACTATTAAAAGTTATAATATAGTTATTCGAATATTCATTATATTCTAAACTTGTTATTTTTTATTAAAAATTTGATGATATTATAAGTTAAACATTAACCTACTAGCTATAATACAATAAAATATTATATCAGAATCTCAAAAGACCATCACTATCATTTTAGTATCCAGCTTAGACAACCGTCGATTTTTTTAATGAAAAATGACGAATTTGAAACATAATTAAATGTCATGTAACAATTTTATAATTTTTAATAGTCGATAGAATTAACAAAGTAGTATGTTACAGTCAAAAAATTATTTTTTTTAAAATGTACGTAATAAAGAAATACTTTATATCAAGGACCATTTATGTACTTTACCCCTATTTCCTTAAGCGTTCATCGTTCTCATGAACTCAATATGGAATCTTCAAGTATTTTACCCACGATTCCCAAGCTTACATGTATTCCATAAATTCTTTATGGGTAAATTACAACGATCACTCCTGAACTCCTTTCTCTCCTATTTTACTCATAGTATTTTAAATTCATTCAATTTTTGTATTAAATTTAATACAATTAGCATTTTTGGTCAGTAAGTCGTTTTCTCACTAAACCATGTTATAAATGAACTATTATACAGATACAAAATGACGTCATTTTTGTAAAAAATTTATTTTTCTAAAATGAATTGGTTTTAACGTCGTTAAATATTTAACGACTGAATGACCAAAAATACTAATTGTATTAAATTGTCTAAGGAAAATGAATGAATTTAAAGTACTGTGAGTGAAATAGGAGAAGAAGTAAAATTCCGTGATGATTGGTGTAATTTACCCGTTCTTTATTAGTTAGTGTAATCCAAAACAAAGGTTCAAATAAATCAAGTTTTGCAGTAAAGTCAGAGACCAAGTTCAAACAAAGATTCCTATTATGTCAAAGAGAAGATACAATGGAACATGAACAGTTAATAATTCTGGAAAGAGAGAAGATGGCAATGATTTAGCTTTGTTTTGATGAACAAGTTGATAATTAAACGAGAAAAAAAAATCAAAACTTTAAAAGCTGAAAGCTTTAATTTAGAAAGATGTAAATGAATTTATGAGTAAGTCGGCTCTCTGCCAAGATTCTTATTCAGTTCTTGAGACCCGTTTCTATTTTCCAGAATTTAGCAGTTCCTTTGTTTACCAAAGTACTGGAACTCGATCAGAAGGCCAAAGTGGGTCAGTTTTCCAAGTTTTGTATTCATTATATGTTTGTGCATGTGTTTATATATGAAAATGTGTCAGATTCTGACTCTCTCTCTCTCTCTCTCTCTCTCTCTCTCTCTCTCTCGTGTTTTATGCCAATCATGCATTAAATCAACTGATCTATTATTCTCTTCCCTTTTTCTTCAACCTTTTCTCCTGTTTTCTGAAAATTTTCTGTTTTTGAATCTCTGTTCTTTGTAAAATCTCCCTTTTTAAAGTTGAACCAACCCAACCCAAAGTGTTTTTTTCTTTTCCATTTTGGGTTTTAGTATGGTTGGTTTTGCAGTGGGGTTTCTTTCCTATATAAACACCTCAAAAGGCCTTTCTCATTTATTAATTTATGTATTTTCTTATCTTGTTTGGTGGATTTTCACGAGTTGTGCCCCATTATTGTTGTTTGTTGCTTCTAATTATTGAGCACATCTCATTTTCTTTGTTTTGGGGTCCATATGAATGTGTTTTTGCCAATAAACCCCGTCAGTTTGAGTCTTAGTAAATTTTGTTTCTCTCTGTAAATCTGTGACAAATATCATCTTCCATGTATGAACTTTGTTTTTCTTAATCTGGGTATTGATCAAAGTTGTTCATTTTCAGTTCATTAGATTCAAGGTCCCCACTTATTCCACACACAATATGTTTGAGTTTATGTCTCTGAGGTTTTAGTTCTAAAGAGTGATGCAAATTGGAGGGCACCCAAAATGGCAAATCTTGTTCCAGGTGTTCTTTTGAAGCTTTTACAGCACATGAACTCTGATGTGAAGGTTGCTGGTGAGCACAGGTCATCTTTATTGCAGGTGGTGAGTATAGTTCCAGCACTAGCAGGAGGTGGGCTGTTCTCGAACCAAGGCTTTTACATTAAGGTTTCTGATTCATCTCATGCTACGTATGTTTCATTGCCTGATGAGCATGATGATTTGATTCTTAGTGATAAGATCCAATTAGGCCAGTTTATTCATGTCGATCGGTTAGAATCCGCTTCGCCGGTTCCCATTCTTCATGGGGTTAGGCCGGTTCCGGGGCGACACCCTTGTGTAGGGAGCCCTGAGGACATTGTAGATACTCATTCTCCTGAGTTCCTTAACAATGGTAGTAAAAGTGTCTCGGATTCGAAACCCAGAGAGAAAATTAAGCCACCCTTAGGTAGTGGTCATGGTGGAGGGAAAGATAAATCTGTTGGGAGTAGATCGAATGGCAGTGCAAGGGATGATCAATTGGATAAGAAAATGGCTTCTTTGACTAGATCCAAATCTCAATCGATTAAACTGTCATTGAGCTCGGATACAAAGAAGGAACCTTTGGGGAAATTGAAGGTTCATAGTTCGAGATCGATTCCATCTTCCCCCACAGGTTGTTATTCGTTGCCAACATCTTTTGAGAAGTTTGCCACTGGGATTAAGCAGCAGGCAGAAATAAAAGGGCAGAGAAAGGGAAGCTACAAGGTAGGATCCATGGAGAAGCCGAGTTCTTTCCATGGAATGAGTCCGATCGGAAAAAAGGTACCGGTGATCAAATCTTTGGTTCAAGGGATCGAATTAGGGGCCAAAGCTTTGAGAAAGAGCTGGGAAGGGAATATGGAAGTGAAAAGTAGGGACCATTCTAAACCGAGAGTTAGCAAGCATGATATCAAGCAAGAATCTCGTAGCACTTCGGTGAGCATGTCTTGTTCTTCTTGAATTTTGGTTTGGCTGATCTGTTACTTTTAACTGAGTAAAGCATTTGTAAGCATAAGATATGAGATTATAGAATGTGATTGGTTTCCCCCCCCCCCTCTTACATCCATTTTTACTGTTTTATACCAGAGATATTTCCTAAAGGACATAACCTAAGATGATGACTCTTGAACTCTGGTTTAAGTTTAGGATATGACATACATGTATTATATGGTTCTGTTTGATTTGTTGCTATTTTTTTCCTGTTATTTAAAACAATTCATATTATTTCAAGCTATTTTGCCCATGTAATGATTAATATTCGAATGCCAGGTTCCTAGAAAGAGCACATCAAGCGAAAAGTTGATGTCCAAGGAGGAGACTAAGCTCCAAATATCTTCCAGGTCACTAAAAGAGGAGAGTAAATCCCCGGTTTCAAATAAGAAAATGTTGGATGAGCAGGAGAAACCGAATAAGCCAAGAATTTCCATTGGGAAGAAATCCGGAGACCTAACTGATAATGGTGGCCTGGGGAACTTGGTTAAGATTCCGGTAAACAGTAAAAGATTGACAGATACAAGTGTTTCATGGTGTTCACTCTCCTCTTCTGTTTCAAAGCTCGGAAGGGTATGAACCTACAACTCTTTACATCTTCGTAGCATTCATAGTTTTTATATGAATGTCTCAGTTAAGGGTTATCTTGTCGTAAAAAGGTCGTATCTCCAATTAGCAAATTCCTAATGAAGAAAAATACCTAGTACAAGTTCAATTTAAACCAACTTATATATCACTTCCTGGCATTCTGCAACACATGGTTCTTTTTATTCTCATGCCGAATTCGTGTTTGTTGTTACAGGAGGTCTTGAAACATAGGGATGCAGCACAAACAGCGGCAATAGAAGCTTTGCAGGAGGCTGCTGCTTCAGAGGGCTTACTACGATGTTTAAGGTATGGCTATTTAACAAAATCGACAGTAAAAGCTAAGTTTTCTTTGTTTCAGAACTATGAAAGATTAAATACATTATATGTATGGATTTTAATTCTCCATATTTTCCTGGCTAAAATTTTTAATCGTGTACCCAAAAACCTAGAAATAATACAACTGTGAACAATCTGTATGTGTTAACCTATGTTTGTAAACCAAGCCTTGGCTTCATGGGATTCGAAACAGTCGAAAATCAAGGGTTTTCTACAGTCACATCAGTAAAATTTCTTGCTTTCGTAAGGGGGGAAGAAAAAGAAAGTATTTGGTCTTTCATTGGTATGGTTAAAGTACATAATAGGAACATATCTCATTTCAAAGGGAAATTGAGGACTAAAAATTGAAATTTTACTTTCACTCTTAATTGTTATTGTTAAATTCCAAATGCAAACATGGTCACAAGTTCCCAACCGCATTGGCCTTTAGGTCAAAGCCGAAGAGATGGAACCATATCGGGGTTATGTAAATTCCTCGGTAATGGCATGATCTGCTTTCTCTTGCATACATCACCGTTGTGTGCGCTTTAACTGAGTGAGGTTTTGCTGTTCTATAATAGCTATTATGTTTGGCTATTTCCTTAGTTCTTGGTGTTTAGTTTTTCATTAGACTTCATTTTCCGTCTCCTAAATACGAAGTTCTTTGCAGTAGGTCTTAATGGACACTTAGTGGTTGGACTTGGAGAAAGACATTTAGGATGGTGCATATTGAGACATCCATTGAAACCTCACCATATACGGATTTAGGTTACGTAACATAATGTGGACTGATTCTGGGTTTTTTCGTAGTATTCGACCATCTATTTATGATGTTTTGTAATCGGGGGTAGATTATCCATAACTGATTGTTCTTTGCTTTCTTGTATAACATTTATTGGTATACTATCTTCGTCTTGCAGCTTATATTCTGATCTTACTACTTCTGCCAAGGAAGATAATCCTCAGCCTGCAGTGGATCGGTTCTTAACCCTGCATGCAAGCTTGAATCATGCTCGGATGATTGCAAATTCTTTATCAAAAACTATTCCAATCGGTTTGTCTCCGGAATCTGAAGAAAACCTCTCGGAAGAGGCAATGAAGGTCACATCAGAAAGACGGAAATATGCAGCTTCATGGGTGCAAGCTGCATTGGCTACCAATCTATCGACCTTCTCGGTATTTACCAAAGAACATAGTTCAATGCCGAGTCATGCTTGCATCTTCGAAGCCCCACAAAAAATGATTAAATCATTCGCAAACTGTAAATGTGATAGATTGACAGCCCCTTCCTCCTTGCCAACTTTCAATCCGGAAAATAAACCCTCTGAAACAACCCTTAGGATTAATAAATTCAGCAATTCCTCTACTAGATTAAATAATAAGGGAGAGAGTGAACAACCATGTCGAAGCCCCTTGACCATTTGAAACTCCTCCGATGGAACCCCATTAACTAACACCGAAATTGAAGCTGTAGTGACACATTTCCTGATCCATCCGATCCAGGTAGAGCCGAAACCCATTTTTTCCATCACCATGAACAGTATAGGCCAATCAACAGTATCATAGGCCTTCTTGAAGTCAACTTTAAAAACACAACCCTTTAACCATTTTTTCCTCCAATAATCAATGTCCTCGTTAGCAATGAGAGAGCAATCCAAAATTTGACGACCGGGTATGAAAGCAAATTGAGTCGGGCTTATGATTTCTCCTAAACAACTTCTGAGCCTCCTTGCAAGACACTTGGATAAAATCTTGTAAACTCCTCCAACCAAACTAATTGGTCTAAAATCATCTAGACTCCCATTGTTAGTTCCCTTAGGAATAAGAGTGATGAAAGTATGGTTGATACCATGCTCCCATTCCTTTCCCAAATAGAATTTGTGAAAAAAATCCATAATGTTACCCTTTAGCAGCTCCCGGGAACTTGTTTTTCTTCCCTGCCCACTGTTTGATGGCTAGTTTAGAGTTCTTTAAGATACTAAGAATTCCCGGTTTTCTCCTGCGCTTCTTGCAATCTGTGATAGTTTGATTAACCATTTCCTCAAAACCATCTTCCTCCATCAAATAGTTGAACAATCTAAAAGGCTTGTTTCCACAATTAGATCCTCCATTATGTAACAACACAACATTGTGATCTGAAATTGATTTGGGAATAAGCGACTGAGTAACCTCAGGAAAAGAAGCCAAGAATTGACCATCCACCAAGAACCTATCCAATCTAACAAATATAAGATCATCTTGGTTATTACACCAAGTGAACCTTCCCCCTTCCATAGGCAGATTAATTAAACCTACAGACTGAATAAAATGAGAAAATTCTCATAGAGAATCTGTTCTGAGCTCTACCTATTTTCTCATCTTCACACAAATAAACATTAAAATCCCCTCCAACACAAACATGCAGATTTTGTGCAGAAATGAACATACTCAGTTCTTCAAAAAAACCTTCTTTTTCCTCCTCTATTGAAGGTCCATATACATTAATAAGAACACTTCTGAACTGGTTAAATCTGAATTTTCCTGTAATCGCAATGAATCTCTTGTTTATACAATGGTCTTCCATCTCAAACACTTTATCATCCTAACAACATAATAACCCCCCGAGGAACCGATAGCTGGCGATTCAATAACCCCTTGGAAGCCATTTAACCCGTTTCTTCTTAGAAAGGACCTTCGTAACTTCTCAGTTTTGGTTTCTTGAAGCCAAAGAAAAGAAGGATGAGAGTTTGAAACTAATCTTTGCACCACTCTCTGTTTTTCCTTTTTACCCAAACCCCTAATATTCCATGAAATTATGGCTAAGTTATCCTTCATGAATAAAACTTGAAAAACCTCAAAATCTCCAATGTGGCTCCTCAAACGGCCATATTACACCCCTTCTCTAAATTCAAATTTTTTTCCAGAAAAGCTTCCTTCCCCTTCTTAAAAGAAACTCCCAAAATCTGACTAACTTGCCATGTAGCGACTGCTTCATCTAATAGATTCGAAAAATCTGGAGATGATACTGTAGAAATAGTGACTTGATCTAAGGCATCCCTTAGCAACAATCTTTTAACTCTTCTGCTGTTTAAGGCTGAATGAGAGAAAGAACATCCTGCAGGCTCACCATCTGCACCATTGACACCAATTTCCAAAACTTAGATTCTATAGCCTCCACATCTTTATTGCCATATGAATCAGAATTTTTGCTGGCCCCCTTAAGCTACTTCTTACCATTGCTTTCCTCTGTTGGTGTTCTAATTTGGACCAGTTTACCAAACTTATTAATTGAGTATGTTGGCCCTGAAGGAAATAACTTAGAAAAATCCAGTCCAGACAACTCATAATCATCCGTTTGGGCCTGTGACCCATCAGCCGAAATTTTTGAATTTCTAAAGCCCAAACCTGCAAAGTCTCATTCTCTGTTGGTCCCAACGTTCTGAAAACCTGACAGTCCTTCTGTAAAACCCTTCCCATGTTTGGTAAATCTTGGAGAAAGTGTTTCCCCATCAGAGCCTGCTGAGTCGAAAGAAGCTCCCTCATTCAGCCAAAAGTCAACTTTTTGTCTGCCTTTCTCTGCTGATTTGACTGGACTTTCCTCAGATTCTGAGAAATCCCTATCTTCCTCATCCTCAAACCTCAACTCACCACAATTTTCTCCAACTGCTCCGACCGCCGGAGAATTTTTGAAAAACGGCTTTGAATCATCACAAATCGATCCAAACTTGATATTAATTCTGAACGATCTACCATAGGATCCAAGAGTAATAAATTCTGGCACATCAAAAGGGCTAGCAACTCTCAAAAGAATTCTCACAGAAGAGAGATCATCCCTGTTCTTAGTGGAATCATGAATTTCTACCTTATCTCCCCATCTCCCAGCTATTCATTCTAAGAATGATTCATTCCAGTATAACAAAAGAATCCCTAATAGCTCAACCTGGCAAAAAGCCATAGGGATGCCATCCTCATTCAGTAATAGATCCAATCTGTCAAACCAAAAGTTTATCACATCTTTCTTCTTTGTCCATGCCTCCATCATCTCTTCATGTGAATTGAATGTCATTATGCATGAGTTCCGAGCGTAACCCCAACCAGCGATCTGAACTTCAAAGCCATCATTAAAGAGATACTCCTTAACTGACTTAAAATCAAGGGAAAGCTTAATAATCCCTGTTAAAGATCTTTTGACCCAACTCGAACTCTCAGACGGAATATACATTTCCAGAATATTCTTCCTTACTTTCTCCCTATGACTCCCTTCAGAATGAAACTCCGTATTCCCCGTTGCATAATTAGCCAATAAAGCATCTTTATACGATCTGTCATCCCTAACACTCCTGCAGGACAAATCTCTCTTTCAACTTTGAAGGACCAGCTGCAGACGAAACTGGAACCGGTTTAACTGGACTGTTTTTCCCCGCTATCAGTGGACGAGCATCATTGTATTTTGCTACTCCAACTGTAATCCTTCTCCCATCTATCAATGATCCATTTAGCATATCTATCGCTCGATTTAAACCAGATTCCCGCTCAAACTGAACAAAAGCAAAAGTAAAAAATTTATACTTAGGATTCCTAGTTTCTTTTGGGATGAAAACTCTTTCCACAGTCCCCTGAGACGAAAAGATTTCCTTCAGCTCATGTCGAGATACTCTCCTACTGAGGTTATCGACAAAGACCTTCCAAACCTCACCGGAAATTATCTTCCCTTTCAACGTATCTCTCTCTTCTTTTCTCTCTCCCACTATCTCTCTCTCTCTACCCTCACAAGAATTGAGGCTTTGTAGACTTTGTTTACTTCATTTTGATGGAGAGAATTGAAACAGAACATAGTTCCTTGTTGAGGTAATTTTCACAAAATGGAAACTAGTTCTACACCCATTTCTTTTATTTTGTGGCTTAGAACAAGCAATAATAAGACTAGATCCTGTTAGCTTTTTTCAGTAGTATTTTTGAATTCTGAGCTTTGGCTGATATTTTTTCTTCTCCATTGCATTTTGAACGTAAGTTGTATATAAATTGAGCATTTTCTTCTTCTTCTAATAATATTATTATTATTATTATTAGAGAACAACTTTCATTATCATGAATGGACTCATGAAAAAAGTTATATTACATATGGATTTCTCAAGTGACCTTCACCCCTTTTTCATGGTTCAGGTACTGTGAGGAGAGGCCTTTACTGTTGAACAATGTGGGCATGGGTGCGAATCTGTGCACCTACTATCAGAAAACATCTTCAGGTGATCAAACTACTAGTGGGATGTTTCGCAATGGAAACCAAACCTTGGGAAATGTTCTGCTTCTAGAGCCAGCTGACAAATCACCTTTTATTGGAGATATTAAAGCCGGCTATAGCCAGTCATCTCTAGAAACAAACATGTACAAGGCTCCTATATTTTCCCACAAAGTGCCATCAACTGACTTCTTATTGGTTAGGTCACCAAAGGGAAAGCTTTCTATACGACGTATCGATAAGATTGCTGTTGTAGGACAACAGGTTTGTTTCATCTGTAGGTTTTTCTGCATGTAGCCTTCCAAGAAACTATATCAAACTCGTACCATTAATTCTATGGAGTTGATGCAATTGTATGCTGACAACTTTCTGGTTACTGATTTTGGTGCTGCATGTTACTTGTTTTGCCCATAGTCAAATTAATGTGTTGGCTGCCTGCCTAAACCTGTATTAGCATTGCCATTGTCAAAATCTATAAGCCAGGGTGGAACTATAGTATCTCTAAGAAACCTTAACCTGCATGGTGCTTGTGTTCTTGGCATTAATTCATTAGTTGTATGCTTTGCATTTGAGAGCAGATATATCATACGAGTAAACAATATTTATAGAAAAGATGCAGGATTGATGTTCAACAGCCATTTAACTTTAGGGCAAGGATCAGGGAAAACTTTGTTTGATAGTTAGGCTTGACTTGGCTGACCATTTTTACCCTTGAGGTTTAGGCATGGCCTGTCCATTGATAAGCTTGATTTAACCTTCAAAAAGATTGGATGCTCTAGTCTATTATGTGTTTTACATATTTTTTTTAATTAAGTGGACTGCCATTGACTTCCTTGCTAGAAAGAGAGTTAAATTTATAAATCATATATGTGGTTTTGGGGGTGAGTGTTTTCAAAACAAACAAATACCCTATGATCACTGTTGTATTGTCAAGATTTTAGATTTTGCATAGTTTCTTTTCCAAGTTAAACTGTGTTAATTAATTCCATGGATGAATATTTAACATTAATCTGCTGGGTTTTGGGTGAATAATTGCAAGAAAAAGCTATTATATGTAAGTTGAGAGTGGAAAAGGACATAGAGACTAGAGTGAGGGTTCTATATGTGGTTTGGGTTGGGGTAGTTGTGTGTTTATGCATACAGTAAAATGTATGTTTATGAACTTAGGTTTCTGATGCTAACATATTGTCAATATAACTTTGGCGTCATATTTGTTAAACTTTGGGATGTTTGCATGCTAAGTAGTTCCAGCCTGAGAACTATCACCGTATCACGTCCGCTCCAATGGAAATTGGTACATTTTAAATGCAGTTTTGATGTTTATTGCATCTCCATATTCAGGTTCTGGTTTCTTTTCCTATTTCTAAGTGGCTTTCGGTTGGATGCTTAGCAAGGTCATAGTGATAGGTTGCTTGTTGTTTGTAACTTTGTTCTCCTGCTTCTGGAATTTTCAAAATAAATCCATGTAGTATAAGATGTTTTGTACACATTGATGCATTTGAGTCTATATGTTGTTCTTTGTGAATTCTGTAAAGAATCGGCATAACTCATACTATGGTCTTTCCCTTTCTGATTTATCCAATTTTCCATATGCAGGAGCCTCTCATGGAGGTATTTGCTCCTGGGTCAAAGAATATTCTGACATATCTCATGAACAGAATGCTGGTTTATGTATATCGGGAGTTCTCTGCGGCTGCCAAAGGTGGTTTGATTCCATTCATTGGTACAGATGAGTTGTTTACTCATTTTCCTAAGCTTTCAGATGCAATTGTCCGTAAAAAGCTGAAGGAATGTGCTTATTTGCGGGTAATTTTTGTGTTTGTTATTTTGAACTTTGGTTGATTGTTAATTAAAAAGTTGCTTGATACCTGCATGATGTTCCTATTGATGTCAGTGATCCTCAAATTTTCAAGATTATTGCTTTTCTGATTCATTCTTCTATTATCTTTCATTAACTTATTTGCTACACTTGCCTACCTTGCATCCTAGAGAGATAAAAGTGGACGACAGACTTGGTCCATGAAGCCTGATTTACACATTCCACCTGAAGGTGTTTTGAGAAAGTTGGTGTCTCCAGAGCACGTGAGTTTCACTATCTATATTGTTTCTTTTTCTTTACCTTATATAATTGAGTCTTATAAATAAAAGTTTGAAGATGAATGAAGATGTAGGCAGAGTGCCTTTACGATAAAGAAAAGGTATTTAAAGGTATATTCATGGTGCTGCATGATATCATAGCCATTGTAAGTTTAACAATTTTGGAAATTACCTGAACATTTGTCTCAATAGTTAGTGCATTAGGTCCTTGCTCAATAGTATATAATATATTAGATATGGTGAAATATTGGCGTGTGGTTGGTGGGTAACATCAAATATCATGTCTTTTCGGTGTTATTTGCTTTGTTGTTGATTTGACATTTACTTTGGTAGTTTCCATATGAACCAACAAGCTTTATACCTTCTCTTTGGTGTCCTTAAAAAGCATTTGCCTGTAAAAATGGAATTTCTTTGAATGTATAACTTCAACTTCTTGAAAATGGAATCGGCAAATTTTTTCTTACATAGGGAATCATTCATATATGTGGGGATAGCATATGGATTTATTTTATGGGTATCCATTTGATTTGATTGACTTTTGCTTGAGCTGGATGATGAAAAATTATCATGTCTGGTTCCTTCAGGGAAAGGATTTGAAAGATTCACCTGTCCTAATAACAAAAGAAGTTGACTTGAATATTCTGGAAGATAATGGAAAATAAATTGTTATTTTTTCACTGCAAGGATCTTTGTCACTAACCTTTTATTTATTTATTCTCCATATGTGAAATCAACATGCTTTTATTTCCATCTATTGGAGAATAAAAACAAAATGACAAACTAGATGCTTTGTTATTGACCATGGTCGTATCATGATCTTTGAAATGCGTATTATGTAGAGAAAACATAGAAAGGATCTGAGGTTTGAAATGCATGTGCTTCCATATATTTCATCTATCTTGATTTTTTCTTTTCTCAATCTTGTACAGGTGTGTGCCTATGAAAGCATGCAAGCTGGTCTGTACCGGCTTAAACATTTAGGAATCACACGACTAACAACTCTTAACAGTGTTTCATCTGCAATGAGTCAACTCCCTGATGAAGCTATAGCTCTGGCTTCCGCATCACACATTGAACGGGAGCTGCAGATAACTCCATGGAATCTGAGTTGCAATTTTGTTGCATGTACAAACCAAGTAAAATATTATTTCTTCTGCTAATAAGAAGCACTCGAGTTTTTGCTTTTCAAATAAACTATAAAGCAACAAAATCACATATTATGAAGCTGACCTTTACAATCATATTCTTTAAAACGTTTTGATTAGGAAAATGGCTTGTTAAGTAGCCATTTTCTATTTAAATTTATCATTTACTTTTACTCTTCCCTTTTTCCAGGACAGAGATAATATTGAGCGCCTGGAAATAACTGGTGTTGGCGATCCTTCTGGTCGAGGTTTAGGATTTAGCTATGTCCGTACCGCTCCAAAGGCTCCTGTGTCAAATGCTGTGATGAAGAAGAAAACTGCAGCTGCTCGTGGAGGTTCTAGTGTGACTGGTACAGATGCTGACCTCCGCAGATTAAGCATGGAGGCTGCACGGGAGGTGAGTTTTTATTGCCCCCCCCCCCAAAAAAAAGCTATTGAAGTCTGATAGGAAAATCTGTCAGAAATACTGTTTTCTTTTGCCATTTTGGTATCACTTATAGTTATTATAGTTTTTAGATGATGGCTGTAATGTTGCATCTTCACTACGCTGTTTATTTACAAAAATAAAAATATAGTTTTCCCTTAGCTGCTCCATATGTCAAAATATGGGAAAACCTGCAATTTTTCATTTAAAGGAACTTAGAGTTAAGACTCAGTAAGTTTCCATGGGTTAATTAAGGTCTAAAATCAAGATAAAGACAACAAATTTTAATTTTATTTATCACATTTTGTTTTATTGTTTTCTGTGTATGCTGAAATGTCAATAGTATTGGAATAAAACATTCAAGTATTAAAGTTTTGAAATGTTTTCAGTTCAGGAACAAAGGAAAACTTAAATTTACTGCAAAAATATTTGAATTGTTACATCTTCACTATGCTGTTTATTTACTGCACGGGAGGTGAATTTTTATTGCCCCCCCCCCCCCCCAAAAAAAAAAGCTATTGAAGTCTGGTAGGAAAATCTGTCAGAAATAATGTTTTCTTTAACTATATAGTTTTTAGATGATGGCTGTAATGTTACATCTTCACTATGCTGTTTATTTACAAAAATAAAAATATAGTTTTCCCTTAGCTGCTCCATATGTCAAAATATGGTGAAAACCTGCAATTTTTCATTTAAAGGAACTTAGAGTTAAGACTCAGTAAGTTTCCATGGTTTAATTAAGGTCTAAAATCAAGATAAAGACAACAAATTTTAATTTTATTTATCACATTTTGTTTTATTGTTTTCTGTGTATGCTGAAATGTCAATAGTATTGGAATAAAACATTCAAGTATTAAAGTTTTGAAATGTTTTCAGTTCAGGAACAAAGGAAAACTTAAATTTACTGCAAAAATATTTGAATTGTTACATCTTCACTATGCTGTTTATTTACAAAAATAAAAATATAGTTTTCCCTTAGCTGGTCCTTATGTCAAAATATGGTGAAAACCTGCAACTTTTCATTTAAAGGAACTTAAGACTCAGTAAGTTTCCTTGGGTTAATTAAGGTCTAGAATCAAGATATGGAGGCTGACAGGCTAGCTAAGCAGGGGATCGGTTGAGTGTAGCAGGCTTATTGTTGTAATGTTTTGTGATTTTTCTTCGGGTTATGTATAGGCTCAAACTTTGTAATAGTTCTGCTAGTTTGGTAAACAGGACTCACCATCAGAAGCTGGTGACCTAGCTTACTCGGTTTAGCCTAAGTTAGTGTTGTTGTATTTGGTTGTTTATGGGTGTTGTATGGTTTTCTGCTTTAGATGGGGGTGTTGTCCTGGTTGTATCTTATGTAATTTATGTTGTTGAATGAAATCCTAAGGCACTCTTTTCCTCCTTCCAATGATTAAGGAGCTCTCTTTCAAGCTCCATTAATTAAGAAGGGGGTTTTTAATGAGGCCTTCAATTCTTATAAAAAAAAAATCACCTTTTGTTTTATTGTTTTCTGTGTATGCTGAAATGCCAATAGTATTGGAATAAAACATTCAAGTATTGAAGTTTTTGAAATGTTTTCAGTTCAGGAACAAAGTAAAACTTAAGTTTACTGCAAAAATATTTGAATTGATGATGTGAACATTGAAACCTATTATCTAGTTTGATAAGGCAACAACTTTTGCTTTCTGCATTCTTTCCTTTTTGCTTTTCTGAAGAGGAAGAAGGGGGAGGTGTTGGGTTTTATAATATAGTTTCTAGAGAAATCTTCTTGTCAGTAAGGGAATCTAAATTTGTTGTACGAGACAGAGACCATCAGTGATATCTTATCTATCTCTTGTCCTTGTCATAATTCATAAGTGGACCTTTATGTAACATAGACGCTGGTCTACTTTAAACCGAGTTCAGCTAATTTTTGCTGCAGTGATATAGATGTTTTGAACAATGTCTTATCTAAATAAATTGGAGAAAAAATGGTTGACTTGTTGCCCTTGTAGGGTTTTACAGATCTTCTATAAATTCTTTGGTTCACATATGTTGTTTCTTAATTGCTTTTTCTTTTTACCAGGTTCTTTTGAAGTTCAATGTTCCTGATGAAGTGATTGCAAAACAAACTAGGTGGCACCGTATTGCTATGATACGCAAGCTTTCAAGTGAACAAGCTGCATCAGGAGTCAAGGTTGATCCAACAACTATAAGCAAGTATGCACGGGGACAGCGGATGTCCTTTCTTCAGTTACAACAGCAAACCAGAGAAAAATGTCAGGAAATATGGGATCGACAAATTCAGTCTCTTTCAGCTGTTGATGGTGAAGAAAATGAAAGTGATTCCGAGGCAAATAGTGATCTTGATTCCTTTGCCGGCGATCTAGAAAATTTGCTTGATGCAGAGGAATTTGAAGAAGGGGAAGAAGGTGATAATGATAACAAGGTTGACAAAGCAGATGCTGTTAAGGGTCTCAAGATGAGAAGACGACCATATAAGGCTCAAGCAGAAGAAGAAATTGAAGATGAAGCTGCGGAGGCTGCTGAGTTATGTCGTTTACTCATGGATGGTATGAATTGTTTCATCCCAACAGTGTTTTCTCTTATTGCTTTTGCTGAAAAAAGGAAAAATAAAAAACCTTGGTCTTAAGAAGCAAATATGTTTGTAATAATTATCTGTGTTTCATCGGAATAACATTTAGGGTAAACTATGCATTTATTACCTAAACTATCGGTTTTAGTTCGTTTTAGTATCTAAACTTCCAATTTTTCAAAATCATACCTAATATTTAGCTTTCATTTTATTTTAGTACCCTTCTGTTAAAAACTTAACGTGTTTAGTACCTAAACTATCGGGTTTGGTATGTTTTAGTACCTAAACTTTCAATTTTTTCAAAACTTAACGTTAAATTTTGAACGGAGTACTAAAATGAAACAAAAACTAAATTTTTTAATGGCGGGTACTAAGATGAAACAAAAACTAAACTTTAGGTATGGTTTTGAAAAAAAACGAAAGTTTAGGTATTAAATGTGTAATTTACCCTAACATTTAGTGCTAAAATGACCGTTAAATTTAACTTTTTAAATTGAATGTTGGTTCTTTAAAGTTATGCTCAAATCCATGTAATTTATCCAACTTTTCTTGCTTACCTGTTAAATGTTTATTTTGCACAATCCCTAGTAGCGTGTTAGAAAGTTTATTGTAGTGTGTTTTCCTTTTATCATCTGAATATTTTGTTGTGAGAAAAATATCTATGATTTAAGTAATTAACCAACTACTCTTCATGTTAGATGAGGATGACCAAAAGAAGAAAAAAAAGAAGAAAAATAAAGCTGTTGCAGAGGATACTGGGTTGACTTTTGGCTTACAACCACGTATGGGTGTTGAGAGTTTAGGTGTAAAGAAAGCAAGCATAACTCCCAAGCAGATTGTTCGTGCTACTCAACCTAGTGGGTCATATACTACAAATGAGAATTTTGTTAAGGATTCAAAGGATGTAAGACTAGTTACCTTAATTATGAGGATTAAACATATGGCCTGTTTTGACAGATTCTGTTTAGTCTATGCACTTTAGGTAATTTTTGCCCATGTCCAAGGTGCATAAGGGTTCTTATGACTGAGGTGTGCTTTGATGGCAGATTGAAAGTAAAAGTTTTAAAGGAAGCCTGTCTGGAAAGTTGAAAGGAATGAAAAAGAATGGTATGCCCAGCACAGGACCATTAACTAAAGTCAAAATATTGGGAGACAATGTCAAGGCAAGTGGGCTCTTCCCTTCATCATTTTCATTTTTCTTATTTTAATGGAAAGACAAGTGAGCTTGTTTATTTTTAAGTACCGCCTATATCCTGTTAGATGTTGCATGAGCATTCTTTTTGAAATTCTTTTCATTTGTATTTCAACCTGGGAAGTTCTTCAGCATTTTTTCTTTGCATGCTTATGTTGTTTAGAATATTAGAAATCTCGTTCTTATTCTAAACTTCTTCACTTACTTTCTTGTCTTAAATCAGTTGTTCAAGGAGAAGAAATCATCAAGAGATACTTTTGTCTGCGGAGCTTGTGGTCAGGTATGCAACTTATCAAGATAGTGCCAATCTTAAAATTTGATTTTCTTGGACTACTATATATATAATCAATCATTATCTTTTGGTGGTCTAGCTTGGACACATGAGGACCAACAAGAACTGCCCCAAGTATGGAGAAGATCCAGAAATGCAGGTTGAAGCTACTGATATGGAAAAAACTCCAGGCAAATCAACTTCGCTGGAACCCTCGGGTCAGTCCCAGTTGAAGATGATGAAAAAGAAGCTCAAAACAAAAAGTGCAACAAAGATAGCAGTTGTAGAAGCTTCAGAGGGTGAAAAATTCAGTTCAAATGCAAAAGCTCTTCCATTGAAGTTCAAATGCTCTACTGATAAAACATCTGATAAAATTGCTTCTGGAGGCACACAAAGTTCTGACAATCTAGTCTCTTCTGACCCAGAAAATGGAACCAAATCTGCTGCAAAGGTTAATAAAATAATTATTTCTAACAGGGTTAAACCTGATGAAATGCAGGTTGAGTCTCAGAAGCTGCCCATTGTTATACGGCATCGAGTGGATACCAACCGAGGCCAAGCTGAATCTCATAAGAAATCTATTGTTATAAAGCCACCAGAAAATATGGAGAGGGACCAAGTTGAACCTCATAAACCTTCTGTTGTCATTCGCCCACCAGCTGATAAAGATAAAGAACAACCTCACAAAAAAATTATAATCAAGCGACCAAAGGAAATTATTGATATGGATCAACTTAGTCAAGAGGGGGGCACTTATCCCGAGTACAGAAAAACAAAAAAAATAGTGGAATTATCGAGCTTTGAGAAGCATGGGAAGCAGGAAAGCTTGCGATTAATGGAACCAAAAGCAAAGCGGAAAGCTAAAGAGGAGAGAAGATTGTGGGAAGAGGAAGAGAAGAGGAGAAATGTAGAGAGAATAAGAGAAGACAAAGCAAGGAAGCTTTATGAGGAAGAAATGAGACTGCTGGAAGAGCGAGGAAGATTTGCTGAGATCACAAGATACACAGAGGACATTCGAAGAGAGAGGGAGGAAGAGGAACGCCAAAAAGCTAAGAAGAAAAAGAAGAAAAAGGCTGAAATAAAAGATGATTATTTAGAAGACTACAGGACAAGAAGAAATGACAGAAGAGCGGTGGAAAGAGATCGAGGAGCAAAAAGAAAACCTGTTGAGTTAGGACGATATTCTGCAGAGTGTGTTCCTCCAACAAAGCGACGCAGAGGGGGAGAGGTAATGACATTTTTCCTTCATTGCTTTCGTTTGTCCTGTTTCATCTTTTAATTTTTTTCTCCTTTACAACTCATGATGTGTGTCAACTCTGGTGGGATCATTGAAATTGAGTTTAGGCTCATCAGATGATCCTTTTTGTTGATAAGAAGTTAGGCCTCGTTAGAAACCCCTTCATGATTAATGGAACAGAAAATGTTCCTTAGTCAGCGGAAGGAGGAAAAGAGTGCCTTAATAACCATAAATAATCAAAAGTTACATAATGTTTAACAACAAAACTCTCCCTTACAATAATAAACCCAAAGGCTAATAGAATCTAGAGAAACTGAGAACTAACCGATATCGGCCTTAGCTAAACTGTCAGCCTCAACATTAGCTGATCTAGGAACCCATCTAATAATACCATTTAAATCTCTTAACAAAAGACCAATATCTCTCACTAAAACTCTGTAGACAACAGGACATCGATCATAGTTCTTGACCCACTCCACTGCTAGTTTACTATCAGATTCAACAATTAAACGATCCTGAACCCTCGGAAGAAAAGAGGCAAAGAAAGATAAGCCCTTCTTAATTGCCAAAATCTCCACCAACAGCGGAGGACCTGGACCAGCAGCCTCTAGGAAAGAGCCCTTCACCGAGCCATCCTCCAATCTATTTCGAGATTCGAATGGTTCTATCGTGATCTATTTCTCTAAGCCTGTCGGACCTGGTCCTCCTCTGTTTGCTGAGTTGAAAGCCATTAAAGAAGGAATTGATCTATTTCTACATTCGGACTGGGCGTCGAAGGGAAGACTTATTCTCGAAAGTGATTGTAAGACTGCAGTGGATTGGATTTTCAGGCCTACTGAGGCTCCTTCGTTCTTCAGTTCTTTGGTTCGGGAAATTGGGGATGTAATTTCGGGTAGGGATATTATGGTTAGGTTGATTCCTAGGGCTTGTAATTGGGAGGCGGACAAGTTAGCTAAGGAGGGGATAGGTTGAATGTCCTTACTGTTAGCGGTTATGTTTGGTATTTTAATTCGGGTGATGTTGTAAGTTAGAGTTTTATGTAATTCGGGTTTATTAATATATTGAGGTACACTTTTCCTCCTTCCGCTAGTTGCCTCTTCTCAAGAGGCAACTATGAGGGAGGTTTTTAATGAGACCTCCTATTCCTATCAAAAAAAAAGAATGCCACCAACACCACTTTTCCTCCAATCACCACTCACTGCTGCATCCACATTCAGTTTTATAACCTTTGGAGGAGGAGACCAAGACACAGTTTTGATGATCGAAGACCTTGAAGAGGAGCAATAGTCCCCAAGAGTAGGATCAGAAATAAGAGTCCATAATAGAAACATCATTAAATTTTGCTAAAAACCAATTAGCCAATCTGCACCTTGCCATAAAGAACAGATCAGTCTGATCTACCCTTACCCCATCAAACACAATGTCATTTCTACTTTTCCAAATAGTCCATATAACCACTCCCTGAATGAAGGACCATATTTTAGAATCTAACACCATATCTTTCCAAGCAACCATAAAACTTTTAGCATTGTCCTGCAAAGCCGAACACACTCCCTAGAATTTCAAAAACTTGTTCCAAAGAGTCCATGCCACAACACAAATGAAAAATAAATGAGAAGAAGATTCGGCCTCCTTTTTACAAAAGGGACAAGCAACATCAACAATAGAGGAGACTCCTCTCCTTAGAAGTTCTTGTTTAACAGGCAGTTTGTTGTGCACCACCTTCCACAAGAAGACCTCCACTCTAGGAGGCACCAAACCCATCCAAATGTTATTCATCCAAAAAGGGTCTGATGTCGAAACAGGACAGCAAGACTTCACACTGGATTTAACAGAATAAATTCCTTCTCCGTTCCCTCTCCAAACCAACCCATCAGACAACTCAGAAGAAAGAGTTATATTGTGAATTATAGCCAATAAATCGGTAAACTGACTCAGCTCCCAGTCACTCAAATTTCTTCTCAATTGAACATGCCAAGACCAAATAGATGATCGAAACTCTCCATACTCATTAAGTTTCCCATCCCTGTTTAATGAGAGGACAAACAGTCTCAAGAAAACATATTTTAAAGGGAAGTCAAGCGCCCAACTATCAAACCAGAAACTGATTCTCTCACCATTCCCCACTCGAACTTTGAACTGATTTCGAAACCTGGCTCCAAACTGATCCTCATTGAAATGGTTATGAACTACTGATTTCCAGATCCAAGAGAATGAGAAGGGAGATTATCCTTGAAAAACAGGGATCCAATGTCCAGATTATACTTACTGCAAATTACCTTCTTCCACACTGCCTCCCTATCATTTGCAAACCTCCACGACCATTTACCTAGTAGGGCTCTATTCATAAGATTAAGATCCAAAACGCCAAGACCACAAACATTTTTAGCAGAGCATACTGTAGACAAATTAATCCAGTGAATTTTTTTAACCTCTGCCCCTCCTCCCCATAAAAAACTGGCCATGATGGAATTTAGTTTTGTAACTACCGAGGAAGGAATTTTGAACAAGGACATGAAATAGATGGGTAGGGAGCACAAGACAGACTTCAATAAAACCACTCTCCCTGCCAAAGACAAAGTCTTAGCCTTCCATCCGGCTAACTTTTTATAAAATTTCTGGACGATCGGATCCCACAAAAGAATAGAATTCCTCCTAGCACCAAGCGGCAATCCCAGATAATCCGAAGGCAAGTGCCCAACTAAACACCTAACAACATTAGCCCACTGCGTTAACTCATCCTCACTGATATTAATACCAAATAATTTGCTCTTAGTGAGATTAAGTCTAAGGCCTGACATTACTTCGAAAACCCGAAGAACCCTCTTAACATTAAGAATCTGTGTCTTCGAAGCATTACAGAAAATTATAAGATCGTCTGCGAATTGCAGATGAGATAAATTCAGAAAAGCCTCATCTTTGCCAACCACCAGACCAGAAAACAAACCCTCAGCAACTGCCTTTACAAGCAGTAAATTTAAGAGCTCTCCAACAACATTAAACAGCAAAGGGGACAGGGGACAACCCTGCCTAAGACCTCTAGCCATAGCAAATTCATCCGTAGGGACACCATTAACTAAAACAGACACCGAAGCTGTAGTAACACATTTACGAATCCAGCCGCACCATTTTGAACCAAACCCCATCTTAGACATAACTTTGAAGAGAATATCCCAATCAACGGTGTCATAAGCCTTCTTGAAATCCACCTTAAACACACAGCCCTTCAAACCTTTCTCCCTCCAGAAGTCAATGCCTTCATTTGCAATAAAAGAACAATCCAGAATTTGTCTACCAGGAATGAAAGCATACTGAGAATCACTAATTGCTTAAGATTAAAATCTCATCGATATTTTCTTATAGCTTGTGCATAAAATAAAATAACCATAAATTATTAAATTGGTAATATAGTTGTATTAATATCTTTATAATCACAATTCTATTTTTATAATGAACAGATGATCTGAGCCCAAATATCATCATGGTTCATTTATTGATATGTTCAAGTGTATTTTTAAATTAAATTATTATGAAAAAAGGTACCGAAATATGTTATTTGAAAAGAAGAATCTATAAATTGTTGTAATAGATTTCAGAGCTTAACTTGATTGAACCATAATAAGCATAATAATTGATAGATAGTTTAGAAGGTGAGTCTATATTTGATGCAAATTTGTTCTCATGTTTGAATGGACGCTAAGGATATTTACATATTTCAATGAACTGTAAATCTTTATCATTGGGAACAAAAGGAGGTAAAAGAAATTTATGTGCGCATTTGAAAAGAATTCTTCAATTTCTGTGAATTTTCTGTATGTTATGTTTGTAACAAGATGAGCAAGCATAGCTGCTTGGCTGCATGCTTGCATGTGACTTTTGGATGATTGAACTCTTCATGATAAGCGTTCTGATGAGATGTGCCCTGTGAAGTTTCTCATCTGAGAAAAAAGGAATATGGAATGAGAAAGCTATGGAGGAGTAAGATTATGTAATGAGATAACTAAATAATTTTGGTGCATGTAAATCTGCTAGTAAATCTTAATATGCCTTTCCTATTACTATTAATCCCTTAAGTTCCCTGCTTATTGTATTCTTCAATTGATTTCCCTCCAGGTTGGTCTGGCCAACATCTTAGAGCAGATTGTAGAAACACTTAGAGAGAATACCGAGGTGTCCTTTCTGTTCTTAAAACCAGTATCCAAGAAGGAGGCCCCTGACTACCTGAACATTGTAAAGCACCCAATGGATTTGTCCACAATAAGGGACAAGGTTAGGAGGATGGAATACAAGGATCGAGAAGACTTTAGACATGATGTGTGGCAGATTGCCTACAATGCTCATATCTACAATGACGGTCGTAATCCTGGTATTCCTCCTCTTGCTGATCAGCTTTTGGAGCTTTGTGACTACTTGATGCATGAGTATGCTCATAGTTTGGATGAAGCTGAAGCAGGTATAGGGGAAGCTTAATCAAATAACACTTCTGAAATCATTTATCATCTGAAAGCCAGAATCACCTTAGACAAGATCTGTTACTTCTCTGGATTTTAGGGGTGTCTTGGCTTTGGGAAACCATCGTAATAGAGCTTTGTATATGTGTATACGAAACCTCGAGTGCTTGAATTGTTTCAGTCATCAAAAGAAACTAGTTTATATAGGTGGGTAAGAAAAGGATGGTGATAACCTAGGTGATATAGGTGGCAGGTAAATGATGGTTTGGAGGATAAGAGATGAAAGCTTGTAGAGAACCAGATCTGTGTTGAAAGCATGGGACATCGAGCACTAAATGCCCCCGTAGTATCCATTCGGAAACACTTCACTTTTACTTACTATTGGCCAAGAGATGAAGCATTCCCATGAAGATATGGGGTCTCACCAACTTGAGGACCTTCTCACTTTTGGCATTAATTATGTTAGGTTTGTGGAGGAAGCCGAAGCTGGTAGGTGGAAATGCTTCAGCTGTTTACTAGAGTAAACTTAGCAGTCAAAGCTCCTTTCTACATAGGTTAGTGGGAGTCAAGTTTTATTTGATTTGCTAATAATAACTTATGAGGGAGAGAGAAGCTGATACACAATGAAGAATTTTGATGCACAATTGATAACTCTGTACCATACAAATCTATGTATCCACTAATGTACTATTTTTCTTTTCTTTCCTTTTTATGTAGTAAACAATTCATTCATTCCTGTCAAAGTTATTAAAAAACGCTTTTTGTATTGAATATGATACAAATTTCAACCGTTTGACATTGAACGTACATTCCCTCGACATTCTTGGTATTCAAACTCGGGACAAAACGATTCTTTTACTACTGATGTATTTTGGTTTATTAAGTCATCCAAAACAATTTGAAAGCTTATTCCCAAACCAAGAACCTGGTCATTGGGATGAGTTCAAGTTTAACAATCAATTTGAAACGTCAACAAGTTTCTAAAAGAAATCAAAGTAAAATTTGTCCTTTGAACTTTCAACATAGGAGGAAACAGACTGGAATCAATGAAACTAGCCAATAACTTGATGACTAAAAAGTTCACAATTTATTGGCTTTGCAATTACAGATCTCATGCACCAGTTTGCATAGAAATTTCCCATGGCCTTCCGAGAAAAGACCCCTTCGTTTACCTCATTACCAGTCAAAGTTCTGAAACACAAGCTTTCCCATGACGAAACACTGACACTCCATGCTCTTGTTTTGCTTTTCTTTCTTTCTCCAAAGCTATAAATAAGTGTCGTTGTCTACAAAGTTTTCCACACCCGGACACAGATTTCAAGCAAAACAAAAAAATTGAAAGCTTCAATACGAAAAGCAGTATTGTAGCTGTTATCCTAGCAAGCATTCTTGCTGGAACCATGGTGAAGGCTCAATGTGGTAACGGATGTGCAGCAAATGAATGTTGCAGTACATTCGGGTACTGCGGAACAGGTCCGGAATTCTGCGGTGCGAATTGTCAAGGTGGTCTTTGTTCTAACAATGGCATTTCTAGAGCAGACATTGCCACACCCGAATTCTTTAACGCGATGTTGAACCAGGGCGCAACTTGTCCAGGTAAAAACTTTTATTCCAGAGGAGCTTTTCTTGACGCTCTTGATTCTCTCACTCAGTTCGCGAGGACTGGCTCAGTTGAAGAGTCCAGGCGTGAGATTGCTGCTTTCTTTGCCCATGCTAGCCATGAAACTGAAGGTAACATTTTCCACCACATCACATTCGATTAGCCATTGATTAGATTATGTCTTTGTTAAGCTGTTGTGTTTGCAGGCTTTTGCCACATAGAAGAGACGGATGGGGACAACAAGGATTAATGCAATGAGACAATGACACAATATCCATGTGCCCCTGGCAAAGGTTACTATGGGTGTGGACCATTGCAACTATCATGGAACTACAACTACGGACCGGCCGGTTCCGAGCTGCTGTTCGACGGGTTAGGTGCACCAGAAACCGTGGCCAGTGACCCTCTTATCGCCTTCAAAGCCGCCTTATGGTTTTGGACGAAAAATGTTGCTGCAACCATGAGCCAAGGGTTTGGGGCCACCATTAGAGCCATCAATCCAATTGAGTGTAATGGTGCAGAGCGTGACAAAGTTCAGTTTCGGATTGATTACTTCACACGGTACTGTAATCAACTCAATGTTGCTCCTGGGGATAGTCTCACCTGTTAGGGATTATTCTTAGTTACAAAAAATTAACTGTGACAATAAAGAAAGTTAATCCTTATAACTATATTACATGGAGTTGATGACAAAACCGTTATCCAACATTGTACGAAACAAACGACTTCAATAGTTAAAGGGACTATTATTATCTTTAGAGGCCTTAATTTGGAACTTCCTACATGATTCGCAACGTTCGATTAGTTCGATTTGCCCGTTAGAATTTATGTTACTCATTGATATATGTTTAATATCAAGGAGTAACATAAACGGTGGAAATAATGAGCACTGATTTTCGACGTCTGAAAGGAAATTAAGGTACCAGATAAGCAAAAGATTAAAATTTATGTTGGACCTGGATAATAACTTCTAATTTCTTAATAAGAGCTTATAATATGAAGGTGAAAGATGATATCTTATAATTAATGTCAAATAAAATCAAAGAATCTTGTTGTTCATCATTTACATTTGTGCCATTAACAAAACTGTAGAATATGATCTTAACCTAAAAAGTAAAAGAATTTAACAATAAAAAATATTGGGTGTGTATCTCTATAGACAGTATACTTTGTTTAACTTGCATGCACAGACGGACCGAAGGGCGCTAGCGTGGTTGTTAAATTTCAAATTCTCGTATAATTTAGGGTAAGTGAGGTTTGCTAGTGACCAGGTCCTTGAGGACTAGGTCCCGAAGCCAACCGCTGGAGCCAGTACGACATGGCGAACTTCGCCTTGTGGTAAACCGACGAGTAAGTATCCATGCGTTTTACGCCAGCAAAATCTTCCGGTAAAAATCTGGCCGCTTCGACACCGGAATGGCTCAACACTGCCAGTGAGATGACATAGATGATCAAAAGGGTACTTAGCTTTCTGCTATTCATCTTCCCAAACCGAAATCTAAACACCAGAAAAAGGAGGCTAAATCTTATGAAGATTAATTGTCGGAAATGAAATACGAAAAGCTTAATGCAAATCGTTAACGTTGTGAATGAAGAAAACTCGAAACCGAATGGTTTATATAGGGAAAACAAAGGTGTACAAAGTCTAGTTACAACAGCTTAAAATATCAAATGTGAGCCTTTTAGGACTGCCTAATCGTGTTGACCGATAATTTTTGAGCCAAGTCATAGACTAAGCTGAAACACTTTGTTAAATTGTTTTCAATTTGTCAATGGCTGCTACAGTCTACATTTTTCCTTGTTTAACCCTTCTGTCATTGACGGGTAAATTACGTATTCAGTACTTAAACTATCAGTTTTGATCCATTTTAATACCCAAACTTTTAACTTTTTTCAAAATCATACCTAACGTTTAGTTTTTATTTCGTTTTAGAACCTAGCCGTTAAAAACTTAACGGGTGATTAGCAAGTGACACCTTTTTTTATGGATAAATTACATCATTCGTCAATCAACTATCTTCTCACTCCTATTTTAGTCACTAAAGTTTAATTTTTTTAAGTTAACTACTTAACTTTCAAATTACTCCTAATTTATTCAAACTTTTTCATTTTTAATTATATATTAATAAAATAATAATAATATATTTCACTTTACAAAAATTATTAACAAAATAACTTAGAGTGAATAAAAAGGAGCAATTTGAAAGTTGAGTAGTTAAATTGAAAATGTTTAAACTTTAGTACCAAAATAGGAGTGAGAAGATAGTTGAGTGATGAATGGTGTAATTTACCCATAAAAATGAAACAAAACAAAACAAATTTTGAAACAAAAACTAAACGTTAGGTATAATTTAAAAAAAAATTAAAAGTATAAGTATTAAAACGAACTGAAACTGATAATTTAGGTACTAAACCCGTAATGTACCCTTCATTGATTGGATTCTATAGCCGATGAAGGCTGCTTTTGTTATTTTGAGAAATCATAGGGTTAAAATTGGGATTCAGCAAAATGACAACAACACCAAAACACTGTGTTTAGTTGTATGTGAAAGTGCATAATTTTGACTGTTAATTGATAATAAAAATATTATTAGATCTTATTTTGGAAAAAAAATCAATTTTTACCTAATAAATAAAATTAATTAAATTATATTAGGATTTATTTATTTGTTGATCAAATCCACCTACCCTTGAATAAATTTATATTTCAAAGTGTTGAAAAAAATAATTAGTGTAAAAATATATTCTGTATAACATATTAAAAATGTGAGTATAACAAACATTGCAGTCTTTTGGAATTGTTTGATTTTTTTTTATTTTTCTATTTTCAAAATAAAATTATATACTTTTAAAATAATGGTTTAAGAGTCACATTTGTCCCTGTAATAGGTCCAATTTACCATTTTTTGCTTCTATCGAATTTTCTCATCAATTTAACGATCGAAGTTGCTCAATTAAATTATTCTTTTTAAAACCCTAAATTATAAATTCTAGATTGAGTTTAAAGTTTAGGGTTCATGGTTGAGAGGTTATGGGGTTATGTTTTAGGGTTTAGGGTTTATAATTTAGGATTTTAAGTTAAGGGTAGGGTATATAATGATATAATCGAATAATTTCGAGGGCTAAATTGATGTGAAATACGATAAAAACGAAAGTGATAAATTAAGTCTACTACTGAGACGAAGGTGATAAACATGTGAGTATATCAAGCATTACAATCTTACAGAATTGTTCGAATTTTTTATTTTCCTATTTTAAAAAATGAAATTATACACCTTGAAAATAATGATTTTTTTATTAAGTGAATAGAAATTTATATTCTTTAGATAAACATAGATATCAAAATTTAAATCCATTCAAAGTAAATTAATATGAATATTTTTTATCACTCCCAGTAAAATGGATTAGTGACACTATATATATTGCAGTATTTTTTTTATCCAAACAATAATATTATTAAGAAATATAAATTATTTGGTAACATTAACTTATAAATTCTTTTAAGTTCGAGTCGAGTCTTTCAATTCTACATGATATATGTATATCACATATAAAAAATATAAAGAAATAAACTATAAAATAGATACTCGAATGACTTTATTTAACTTGAATTTCATAAGCTCGAGTCAACTAAAAAAAAAATTAAATGAAGTTAAAACTATAAAATAAAACTCTTCAACTCGACTAACTCGAAATCTGTTGACTTAACTCAATTAAATGTCCAACCCTAACATTATTTTCTCATAAGAAGAAAAACTTTATCATTTTTGGATTTACATTTGCACATATAGTTCTGAAGCTGCATTACACAACATGAACCTTCCTATAATCAAAGAAAGAAAATAAAACAATAAAAACAATAACTAATATAATTTTCATGTAGTGATCTGAACATTGATCCAAAACTGGATTTGCAGACATATCTAATGACCAGGACCTCTAGGACTGGGGCCAGAAGCCAACCGCTCGAGCTAGCACGACATGGTGAGCTTGGCCTTCTCTTACACCGACGAGTACGTCGATGTCTCCAAGTGATTGGCTCTTGCAAAATCCTCTCCTAAAGCTCTCGTTGCCTCCACTTGACCATGTCCATGTCTCAAAATGACCACTGAGATGACCAAAATGATCAAAAGGCTGCTTAATTTTCTTCTATTCATCTTTGGGAAAGACTGTTTTTTCTCTCTCCAAGCTATAACTTTCTTTCTTTTTGTATTTTGTTGCGTGTTGTGTGTGCTTAAAACTGAACGCAAATGATATGCAAGTATCACAAGTAATACAATGATGAGTGAGTATCGTATCCAGAAGGATTGGTGGAAATTTATAATTTCGGACACAACAATACACTAAATTATCTTAGTAATGATATTTACACCGATGATGCTTAGGTAAAGGAATTGTGACTATAGGGTGGAATGATGGTGAAGAAATATGAATGAGTTAACAAATGTGATGTCGTGGCTATGGAGATGTTTATAGTCTAAATAGGTGAAAATGTCAAGGCAATGCAGAATGGTAAAAACACAAAATAAATGAAATAACTTGACAATCCTCACACGGAAAGCTTCTTCGGCAATGAATGATAGGGAGTCACTTAAGAAGTTTTAAACTTATCTCTTAAGTTGATCTAGTCTTCTAGTGCCTTACTTGTTCAACAGAGTTTACTAAAGATGTTCTATGTTATCTCAATCTAAGAACCTAACAGAATAAGACGCCACAACATCTCCTTTCAGCCTGAGCAATGACACACTAAACCATTGGTTAAGCTTTACCCTCTTAGTCGTTGAAATCCTAGCTTAGTTTATCTCGAATACTAAGGGATTAGGTTCTAGTAATTAACTACAACTCATTGCTTATGCTAATCTTACTTTAGTTTCTCTCAAATACTAAAGAATTAATGACTACATTTCTCTCAAACATCTAGTATTCTACTTAAGAAATGACCACTCTCATGCCTCCTACAATCTTAAGAGATTAAGAACTCATAAGAAAAACAAGTAATAAGCAAAATAAAACATTAATCAACCATTCAAAACAAAGTTTAAAGTATCCATCAATGAACTCCACCAAATATAGTCTAGTTCATGGTGGGGTTCAAATAGACCATGGAAAATCCCAATTTGTTCATTCGTTCCTTACAACCCTATCAAAGATCAATCATAAAATGAAGCAAAGGTTGGAGAAGAAAGCATTAGATGTGCATGGCCGACACTTCCTTCGAACCACCACAAATGAACACAACACCTCGCCCTTTTCGGGTGCAAGTGCCACTCCCTCAAGCTTCACCAATGAAGGAACATCACTAAAAATGGATGGGAAAAAGAAAAAAGAGGAAGTTGAGCTCGTCAATGGAGGAAGAGAGAGTTGGAGAAGATGATGAATGAGAGATATTCAAAATGGTGTTATTTTCTTTATAAATCTAAGGAATGTTCTTAGGGAATTTTTCCAAAAATTCCAGTCATATCCCCCAAGTACGCTCCAAATGCTTGAAAATTGATTCCATAGGTGGCAGTGGATCTCATTCAGATGGTTACCATCACAAAACACGTGCTAATAACAACTGTCATTTGTGAAAATATCTTTTTGTCATTTTTTGTGCCAGAAATACTAAGGCATTGCAGTCTGCTTCAACAACTTGTGATCCCGCGACATTCTTCTCTGCTCGCCTTATGCTCCTTGTTTCCTGCACATCACCAAATAACCAGACATTTCCCATCATATAACACCTTCACAAAGTAAAATGCAATGGCAAAATACAACTACCAAAATGCAAATATATAAAACTACATGCACCTAAAATGACCTATATGAGTCTTTAGACAATCAATAACTAGTGAAAAAGGCCTTAAAAGTAACCTTTTTTATAGAGTTATCATATTTGCTTAAAGCTAGTTTGAATGCTATTGTTGTATGAAGCGTGGAAGCGAAATGGGGTATATATATATATATATATATATATATATATATATATATATATATATATATAGAGAGAGAGAGAGAGAGAGAGAGAGAGGGGGGGGAGGGGCAAGGCTGGTAGAGTTGGACTATAGTACAATGGTTTGAATAATATTGGTTTAGGGTTTCGACAGTTGGCTTTTTAAGAGAGTACATGTTGACCATGGAGTTTTGAAAAAGTCATGCATGCACGCAGCAGGCATGCAATGGTATATTAATTAATAGGATTCTTTGAATGACATATATTATCGTTGATCGTTCTAGTATTGATGTGATGGTTTACGATATTAACGTGACAATTTATTATATTTATGTGACGGTTCACATGCGAAAGATGATGTGATGTGTCGTAGTTTACCCAAGAAAAACTTTGTGAAAATGAGGTTGGGATTTGGTTTTTTCCAGGAAGGAAGATGTAAAAGTTTCAGGGTTTTGAATGTGTCAAAGCACGAGTTGTTTGAACGCTTTAAACTTTTTTCTTGGTAAGCAATATCTGTGTAAGGCTCCCAATAGAGCAGTTCCATGCCTATGAAAGAAAAATTTTAATCATATTTTCTTTTATAAATCTGGTGTGAATATAAAGTAATATATCTTTAAAGACTCTCTACCAATTGCCAATAGATGTTTATATTTTTATCGGTGTTCGAACTCGAGACCTCTAGGGAGAACAACAAATCCCTTGATCAATGAGATCACTTGGTTCATGCAATATTGATTTTACAATAAACTTGGGAAAGTATTCGAGTGCAGTTAGGGATAGATCAAAGGAGATTGAAGGGAAGACCGCTCCTTGAAAATTTTAAGTACTCGTACAATTTAAATATTTTATAGTGATAACGAATTTTCGCTCTTAGAATTGTATAAATCTATCTTCAAACATAAAATCATTCGTCCCTTGATCCTTTGGAGAGACGGATATATAGCCATCGGTTAAGATATTTCCAAAAACATGGGTCGTAGCTATAAGTGCAACATGACAATGATAATTTCATGTAAACATGTAAGAAAAACCTAATTATATAAAATCAAGTACCTAAGATTTATCACGTAAAATGATAAAAAAATAAAATAATAGACGTGGAAGTGTAACTAAATTAATTGATGATTTGAAATCCTTAAATCTTTTTTTTATTTAATAAATGTGTTTTCTCTTGTCATAAAAAGTTCTTTGGCCTATTACCTACTACATATTAGGTCGGTCTTTTAAGTATTTATAATTCTATCCCTCATCTAATTATGAATACAACTTATGATATTTACATTTTAATTCCATGACATTTGAATACGTATGATACATGTAACATGATTGATCACTTAATTTTATGTTATACTTTATAATAACATTATGCATTCCAACGGAACATGTTCTTCCTAGTTGAGAGCTCCCCTTTGTAAGAAGAGGCAAAAAGAAAAAAAAAATGAAAACTAGGTTGAGATTATCTAATTTTTTCTTCTTCTTCTAATATATATATATTAAACAACCTTCTAAGCACATGAGAAAACTTAAAACAAAGGCTTAAGGGCCATCTTTGTCCCTGCAATAGACCATATTTATCTTTTTTGCTCCTATCGTATTTTCACATCAATTTTATACCTCATCCCTAACTTAAAACCCTAAGTTAGAGTTTAGATTTAGAGTTTATGGTTTAAAGGTTTAAAGGTTATGTGGTTATGATTTAGGGTTTTAAGTGTAGGGTATAATATGATGCAATTGAACAATTTCGAGAATTCAATTGATGCGAAAATACGATAAATGTGAAAATGCTAAATTAGGCATACGATATGGGCAAAAGTTACCCTTTTACCTTAAAAAATAATAGAATACGCTTGTGTCAAAGACATAGCCCTATCAATGCTCACACCATAGGTCCAAATTATGAGAATTAGTTATACAAGTGCCCTTTCTTAAGTCCAAGTTAGATGTACAAAGGAGTGTTGGTTAGGTATTACAAATATGAGACATTAGAAGCCAAAATACAAGAAATAACATTTCTAGGCCTCTCTACCTGAAAACAAAAACCCTGAGCATTAATTGCTCACTTTTAAACCACTTTTTGATCAACAAAACAAATATAAATTTATCAATAAAATAGTAAACATGAAATGTTAGGGGGGTTTAGCTATCCAAGTGACTGGGAGAATTGTTAAACATACTGTGCCACATATATGCCCTAGAAAGCACAATTTCAAGCTCTTGATATGTCCAGTTGTGAGTTGGAAGGTGTTGAAGGAACATCACCAATTCCTGGAAATCAAGCTTCTTAAGTGCGTCTGACCACTGAAATTGCACAACAAAATCGATCATCGGTTAGCTTCTGTACTTGATAAGATTATGAATAATCATAAAGGGGACACAGAGTTGTCGAGGCATCCGATGTCGGGGAAAAGAATCAGTTGAAGTTTGCAAATCGTAGAAGCAAATGTCATCAGCAGAGTCCGGAAGGAGTCAAATGAAAAAATCCAAACAAAGCAGAGAAAAATAACAAAAAGAATGTAGTCATAACAATCCTGGAAAACAGCTTCACCTTCAGCCTTCATTATGTTTTGGATCAAAGAAATAGCCATTCATTTCCTTTCGGATAAGAAAAAGCGTAAATTAAGAAGAAAAAGAATACATCTTTTCATTTGAACAACTATTGCAGCTATATCGCTTAAAGATTCCAGAAATGCATGCAGTCTAAATGAAGTGAATTATATTAGTAGAAAGGAAGTTAAAGCACAGCTCACCGTTAAAAGAAAACTGGCAAAAAAGTACACAAGAAAATCAGGGAGTGCATCGCCTTCAGCAAGATACGTATCCCATAGACGGGTTACTAGATGGAAAGGAATCTGTTAAACAAAAATAATTAAAAGAAAAACTAATAAAGCCACAAGAAAAATTAAAAGTATAACTAGTTTGTCAATCAACCATAAAAAAACTGCAAAATGCAGGTTAATTACACGGTTTAAGTAATGGATTGGATGGTAGGATTAAACTTTACCTCACGTATCAGTAGACAGTTGAACCAGCGAAAAGCAAATTGAAGAAACTCAAGTCCTTGATTCTCCACATGTCTAGAAACAGGTTCTTGTGCAAATTAACAAAACAAAGTGGTTAATATGAGAAAGAAATTAGAACGTACAGAAAGGAAACATAATTTTAAGTTAAGTTGTTCTAACTCTTCATTTTTCTTAAAGTACCCATGTTTGATGCATAGGAGGACATTGATATGGGAATATGACTAAGCATGACCCTCCAAGGATCCTCTGAATACAAGGAAAAGCTTTAGAAAAATAAATAAATAGAAGGTTTAAACATTCTCACGTCAAACACAGACACATATCTGCCACTCATACCAGAGTCCAAGTAACAGAGATTTTAAGTAAATAAAAGAAGCACACGACATAAAGGCGTGCACAAGAAAACATCTATACTAAATAAAACCATTTCCCTTTCTCCGTATGAGTAAGAAAATGAGGGGGCCTGTACATACACACAACCTTTAGCTTTCTATATAAGAATCACTAAATTATCTGCACATATATGAAGACTTAAATTTCCTACATGAAGCAAAAGCTTGTTGAATTCATGAATAGAAAAGAATGCTAGAGAGAACTGACTGCCCCTAAAGAGATTACCATCAATTCTCCGAACCAATTCCTTAAGCTTGAATACAAGCCTCTGGATTCCTGGTTGAGCAAAGGTGTAATGGTCTTGCATGCCATCAAGCAACTGTGACAAGCACCAATAACAGTCGGCTTCTATGTTGGTGATATTCGCCGAAGATAAATCAGAGATTGACCAACTATCTATGCTCCCGTCTAAGTACTCTGATAAGAAGACAACCAGAAAGGGTGTAACTAGATCATTTATCCCCTGCACATATCCACTTGCAGGATGCCGAATGGCCCTATACATGAAGTTGAGAAAAAAATCATTACTCGAAAACAACACATGGGATCTGACAGCATCTTAAATTGCAAACATTACATGTTATAAGAAGCCATCAATAAATATGGACTCACCAATGGAAACAATACATGTTGAGAAAAAAATCACTACTCCAAAACAACACATGGGATCTCACAGCATCTTAAATTGCAAACATTACATGTTATAAAAAGCCATCAATAAATTTGGACTCACCAATATAAATAATACCTTACCATGTATAAAGAATGCGCTCCAAGGACTTTTGAACTTGTGCTTGCTGAAAGAAGGCAACATCAGGTACAGTTCTAGGACAATCAACAGAAATCTAACGAACCGAATAAAGGCAATTGTTAACAATCGGGCATAGAAGGCTGAAATTTGAATTCAGTACGGGTTAAAGGTACCTGACGAAGCATATTTATCTCATCATCTGAATGGTCAGTCTCTGGAATGTCATAAAATTGAGCAACACAATCAAGATATTCAATGCGTTTCCTCCTTAGAACTCCCTCCCTTCTATCCGAATTAGGTGGTGCATATCCCTGTTGTCATTTCATACTTTCATTTCAAACAAGCAGCCAAAATTTAATAAAAATAACCATGTCCCTTAGATGACTCATTTGTTAAGCCTGATTATAAAATATTAGGCATATAGGTTCCTTCGTGCATGCTCTAAACAGTGGCCAGATTGGTTTCATGTACGGGAATAGAAAGCCAAAAAGTATATACAAAATGTCCAAAACCAACAACCTTAAGAGACATTGCATATATTGGCCAAAAAGAAAGGAAAAAAAAGACATTGCAAACTGGAATGACAAACAAAAACCAATAGCTCCTAAAAAGAAACATCTGACACTAAAAGTGGCCGACTATTTTCAGATGATGATGTGATTTTTTTCTTTCTTTCTTTATTTTGGTGGGGGGGGGGTGTAACAGCTGTAAGTCAATAGAATTTGGTATGATTTCAACCATAATGGGACAACATAAGAAATATCAGTCTTTCTAAAAAAGAAGATGAACAAATTGGTTCATATACAGTTCCAGTCCTCCTCTTGCCTAAATATTGATAGTTTCATTAGATCATCAAGCTTACCAGAAGAAGTCTCCATACATCAGGCCGCATGTAAGGTGGAATACCACTCCAAGCTGGTTCACGTAATCTCTCTGCACAAGGAACTCATGATCAAGTCAAACTATGATACTAGTAATAAAAGGATTGTTAAACTAGAACTCAGAAAAGTAAGGGAACAGAAAAGACTACATTCTCTATCAAACTAAGAAAGTGAGAATTAGGTACGTAGGCCTGTAAACGAACTGAACCCACATGAACGGATGTATGTTCATGTTCGTTCATTTAATAAATAAATGAACATAAACGAACAAAATTTTTTTTGTTCATGTTCGTTCATTAAGGAATATAGCTTGTTTATGTTCGTTCATTTAAATGATAAACGAACATAAACTAACATAAACGAACACAAACGAACGAACATAATAAATTAACATAAACGAACAACACAAACACAAAAAACAAACTTATTCGAACACAACAAATGAATGTAAAAAAAGTAAACAACAAGAATAACAACTTAAAATTCTTTAATATAATCTACAACTTTGGAGTTAATTTGTTCGAATACGACAAAAACATACATAAATCATAAATAAGCTATATGAACATAATAAAGTCTTAAAGTTAATTTGTTCAACAAAAAAATCTTCTTGAAATCCAAACAACTTCAATAATCTTCGTAACATATTCAACTTGCCCTCTGTTCGAATATAAATGAACGAACATTAATGAACATAAATGAACGAACATATAATCGAACGTTCACAAGCGTAAATGAACGAACGAGCCCTTTGTTCGTGTTCGTTCATTTTATTAAACGAACGCAAAATCTTGTTCATGTTCGTTCATTTAATAAATAAACGAACTTCCATCCGTACGGTTCATAAACAGTTCGCTGAACGTTTACAGGCCTATAACTACGTATATGAGCAGGTAGGCACTTTTGACTTGGCTTTTCTACTGAATGAGCATTAGCTATGTAAAAATAAATAAATAAACATTCGCCAGACACTTGATATAAAAGCTCTATTTTTGAGCTATACAAAGCAGCTTGTAAGGCCTACTTATATCTCATTTTTAAAATGGCTCAGCTCAGCTCAAGTAAGACCTCACACAATTTTCAGCAGAGTTAAACAGACTAATAAATAGATAACTCATCCTGAAGTAACAAAATAGACATAATACCTATTATGACCATTTGCCGTGAGAGCTCTTTCGTAAACTTCAAAACCCTTGCAAAATCTGTAGATCTTGCACCCATTGCAGACTTGATTTCTCGAGCAGCATGCTCAATGTTTGAGTTTGAAGCTCTTAACTGATTAACAGTTATATCAATACCTGTATTTTTGAGATATGAAAGGGTAAAATTTTATTTTAACCTTGAACTTCATATAAAATTTTAATTATAGACTTTTTTTGTAAATCTAAAATAGTTTAAGGATAAATTTATAATTTAATCTTCAGATAATTTTTATTCTTCAATGACAGAAGAATAATATTTTTGAAATAAAAAAAATTAATGGCATTTTAGTCCAAAACGTCGATAATCCAACAATACCTAAGGAAAATGAGGTAATGACATTCTCGGTAATATACTCCAAAAAAATCACTATTGGTAGTCTTACATTACCGGGAATGAGATTCCCGGGCTAATCAAACGGAGAATGTGGATTTCATTCTCACGGGAATCTCACATTCCTCCATCCAAACGTCCCCGTGACATAATGATTAAGAGAAAGGTAAAAAGGTATCAAATGTCTTTGTATTTTGGGAAAAAATTAATGTCTTTGAATTTGTTGTTTCTTTGAGTAACTGCATGTGAACGAGCTGAGTCGAGCTCGACTATTGTGGAGTTTAACTCGAAAAGTTTAAAATTGAGTTCGAATCAAAGTTCACGAACTTAAAATGGTCAATTTCGTCTCGAACTCAAAATAAAAAAAAAATTGAAGCTTGATCCGAACTCGGAAAAACTTGAATTCGAAATATTCTTAAACTTCGCTCAATTGATGCTCAAATTCAAGTTCGTTGAGTTCAAACTTGAGTTTGAACCTTGGAAACCTCATATTGTATATTTTTAAAAAAAAAACATATAAATGCTAATATTATTAATAATTTAATTAAAAATAATAATAATAATTTTTTCGAGTTGTTCACAAGCTTTTCGAGCTAGGTATCAAATAATTTACTTTGACTCGTTATGAACTTGAGCCAAGTTCGAGCTTGAGTCGAATCCATTCGATTCGAGTGTTGACCGAGTCGAACTCGAGTTGCTCGCGATTTGTCTTGTCTCATTGACGGCCCTAGTTATAAGTTTTACAAATGGAAGGGAATGGAATAGTTCAGCTGCTAATAAGCATAGGAGCAACATATTTATATGTCATTGTTCCTTGTTTGAATTTTAATGGAGATAGATGTTTGTTGAATGTTAGTCTTCTGTTTATCCGAATTCTTTTTAAGTTGTTTTAGATAATCCAATTGATTCTTTTCCACGTTTTACTGAATGAGCTCGTCATTAACCTAATTTACTTTATAATTCTTCTTTTTGTCGAGAATGCAAATTTTAATTCTAATTCTTTTTGTGACATCTTCTCGCAGATATGCGATAGAGCCGAGCATAATTCGTTCTGCAAAAATAGCATTGCAGTTACAAAATAAGACGGTACGGGATGTGGCTTTGCGGTGCAGATGGATAACTGTAAGTTTTACTGTGTTCTTTTTCTTTATAAGAATTGGATGTCTCGTTAAAAAAACCCTTCATACGCATCGATTCACAACTTGGTAAATCACCGAGCAGCGGAAGGAGATTTTACTGTGTTCTCATAAGTCACAATTTTAACTCATCAGCTAACTGTTAGCTTGAATTCTAGAATATATAGACATATATATTAATATTACCACAAGTAGAGCATATTTCTCAAGTGGCTTAAATGCTACTACAATGAGCAGGGTGTAATTGTTGGAGTATATTCATATATTGCTGGCTTGATGCCATAATTATACTGTGATGTATATGCGTATACGTCCATGTGTGTGTAGTGAATGTGTGCATGCGTACATGTGTGCACTTAATCTGATTTATTCCTTATGCAGAAAAAGGAAAATAGCAAGAGAAGGAAGGAATAACATAATATAGCCAGGAAAAGTAAAGACAAAAAGGTATTATTTACTGGTTCTTTTTTATGTGTGTCAAGCTAAGCTATATTTTATTTCCGTTTTCTTTACTCCTATGAGCCTGCTCAATTGGTTAATTGTTAGAATGCACGATATTCGATATCGGTTAAAAAGTAAATTGTCGTTCTATGTGATTGACTGCTTCCATTAACACAGGAAACCTCTCTTATACATGCAAGGTAGTGGAGCAAAGCTCATTGACCATGGGGAGGTTATTGAGTTTAGCATAGTATTTTTATATTTTCATGGTAGAGATGTTAGATGGAGATTTAATTAGTATATGTAGCTAAGCAGCGTCTTCCTCGGGTTTTTGATTGGTTATCTTAGATTCTTGGGGCATGTTCGGTACAGTATGCTTGAATCACAGTATGGTGCGTTTTTATCGTCGTCCTTCCATAAACTTTTCTTTGAGGCCTCGGTCGGGGAGATTTGCGTCGGAGCATTCTTTATGTCTGCTGATAAAACATTTTCGACTTCGATTGATTTTTAGACTTGGAATATAATAGATTGAAGTAAAAGATTTTCCTTCAAAGTAGCCAATTCATGATACTATTTTGTTGATATAATAAAAGATAAGGAAATGTGTATAGTTTATGGATTAGACCATGTTTTGGACCAAAAGATGCTTAGGAATATCTTTTGCGTTTGTTTTCAGGAGAGAGTTGCCGATAATCCGGCAAAGCCTACTCATTTTGTGGCTCAACCTAATCTTTCTCCATATGCACCCCAGTGATTCCTATGGATTACGATGATGACATTCCATACCGAGGTTAGATTTTATCATTGAATATATTTTCAATTGTCCTCTTAAGCTCGGGATTCAGAGATGTTCTTTGTTGCTTCTTACATGCAAGTTTTACTTATGTTTACTGGAATCTGTTGTTTTCTGTTTAGTCAAGATATATTTAGCATTATATTTGAAGTTTTATGTACATCATCTTGAGGCAGATAGACTGAGTTTCATGTTCGATTGCCTCACTAGTTGCATTGGAGTTTTGGTTTTTCCTTCTGATGTTTCAGTTTCCGATTTTATTAACCCCCGCTATGTATATTGCTCTCAAAGCTGAAATTGTCTGTAAAAGCTTCTGAACGTTTTTCAGCAAAAGATGTTGGCGTTTTGAAGGATTCGGACAGTTGGGATGAACCATTATTCCTGTGGTGCTTTAGTTGGCATGACCCTTTGATGCTCATTTTATGTAACTTAAATGAACTTCCGATTTCTATGATGTTATTATTGGAAATTTAAACCGAAAGCATTGTTATGCTATTTCACAGCCATTGGCGGGGCGACAGGCGAACTTCTGGAGCAGAATGCTCAAGCCTTAAATCAAATATCGGCAAATCTTGCAGCTTTTCAGGTGGAATACCGATGTTATGAACAAATCGATTTTATGTCATCCTTCTATTTTTCCTTTTGTTTGCATTCCAGGTTTTCAATGCTTCCTTGTAAATATGTATGTGCAAATGACTGGTACCCAGTCCCTTAACCCCACCTTCCCGATAACATTTTGTGACAGTTCATGCGGATAGACCGAAAGTTCTGATGTTCAATTTGATTGCTTCAGCTGTATGGATCTCACTAAACTTGACCTCGTTTATCTGATTCTGTTTCTAGATACAGGAAAATATTGTTCTCCCATGCCGAACTCGTGACAAAATTATGAAAATCATGAACGAGTAAGTTCCGGTTTTTGATAAATGCTTCTTAATACCAGATGTTATTTGCTTTCCCTGTCGTATGCTGTGCCATATGGTTTCTAGTAATCATTAGTGCTACATAAGATCGATATTTGTTCCATTACATATGAGGTTGCAATTTGGGAATAAGGATTGATGATACGGGAATCTGGTGTTCAATTTACATGTATCTTCCATCACTTACGAATTCACTATCGAATGAACTCCTGTTGTTTCACTTATCGGATGTTAGGCATTTCTTGATTTTTTTTTTTTTTTTTTTTGCAGGTGAGTGACATGCCGGATACAATGAACCAGATGCAAGTACTCCCGGTGAAACTGAACGAAGAGCTAGCTAATATCATCCTTCCTTCATCATCTCATCCTATGCTTTCGTGATCCTCCGCCTTCTGCTTAGTTTCCGATAACTGAGCGGCGGATCATGCTTTTGCCAATGTAGTAAACAACCGCCAATAAGGTCGACTAACCTTTGCTTGCGTGTAAAGGCATAGTGTTTTCTTGATTTCGTAGTTTGCTTTTAGATATTTATTGTACAGAAATCGAGAGTTGAAATTATTTATTTCAGTTCTCTGTTTTGTGTATAGTTTCCTAAAAGGTTGACAAATTTATGTCTTAAAAGTCACTTCCATCAACATTGTACAAATGTATTGCTTACCCGATTAATCCAAATCGATCAATAATCGGATACATCAGATACCAGTGGTTATACAAAAAAAAAAAAAAAAAAAAAAAAAGAGGCAGCCAACAGCTTGTAGACAATATTAGTTTTGTACGGGTAGAGATACAAGATTAACTAAATTTGAAACAAAGATAATTGTCCGCAGGGTAAACAACAAATATTACCGAACTTTAAAGTGTTATATCATTTATACTACTAAATTTTTAATTTTGTCAATTATAACATTAAACTTTAATTTTCATTTTAATTACACCACTGAATCGTTAACATCACGATGACGTAGCTGACGTAGACATCTCACCGAAACAACATCGTTTTGATTCGATTGTTAACGATTTAACAGCTCATTGATATAATTGAAATAAAAATCAAAGTTCAGTAGTATAAACGATACAACGCTTAAGTTTGGTGATATCTGATGTAGTTTAGCCTTGCCTGAAATAGGCAAAGAGATATAGGATACACGAGCCATTTTTTTGGGTCTGAATTGAAGTTTAAATTTTGTAATAGATTTACAAGAACTTTGTACTGCCAAATTTGGGGATCAACCCCTTAATACAATGTAATACTAATCCAGTAAAGAGGGAAGTGATACATGAAGACTGACCTGTTAAACTGCTTTAGCTTACCCCAAGGCTGAGCAATCCTTGGGCCAGTCCTCACCGATATCTCGCTCGCATCTTTCTTGCAACTGGGGAATCTATAATTCGCAAAACTTAAAAAGATAGGAGTAACGAAAATCAGGAGAAAAAAAGACATTACATCTACAGCGCTAGATGTATGTATGCTGTTATAGTTATCAATAAAAAATCCAGACAGCATAGCTTCCATTCATAAGCAACATTTCAGAACTGACCTGATAATTTTCTGTTTGCTAAGATGAATATCAAATTTCCGTATACCGCACATAAACCAAAAATAGACATTATTCATATAATAAGTTTGTCAAAATGTAATGACAAATCTGGGACTGGGAACTGTACTATATGACAAAATGATGTATAAATCGAAACAACTGATGAAAACCATAAAAAGAACCAGTGACAACAAATTCAAACAACTTCAAAGGTCAAGTTGAGGGCATTCAACTACAACCAGCTGTGAAATCTGCCAAAAGTGCTATGTAACTGTTGGACCCCTTTTTTCAAGGCGATAAGACCCTATAGACCCAGAGGAGATGAACAAATTGTCAGTTCATCAGAAAAGGGTTAATTTTTTTAAGAGAAAAATTCAAGTTATGCTGGTGAACCCATGCTCACCCAAAGGTTTGAAGTAGGTCTAGCAACACTTTTGAAGCTTTTCCCCAGAGATGTTCATTGCAAAAACATGACAAGTGCCGTTTCAATTTGTTTATTCTAATTTATACGTGTAAATTGTGGATGATTGGTCATTTTTGAGATGCAGATGCACTCTCACCCAATGATGAACCTAATCGAAGCATAAGAGGATATACAGGACTGAACTCCTTGTCTCCTCTAGCCCTAACCTTTGCAGCATAATCATCTAGAGTTGCCTTGATTCCTTTCCAGATCTGATCTTCCCCTTGAGAATCCAGCCACAACGAATATTGCAAATGTGTAAGCTTGTTCTTCTGGAGTGGTGATTGCAAGTCCTCAGGTCCTCGGGAATAGAGATGATGCAGTATGACACTTGGGGGTAAATCTTGAAGAAGAGGAGATGCTCCTAGCTGAGAAGTTTCCAAGAAGATTAACGGACGGAATGCTCGAAGAGCTCGGTATGGTGCACCTAGTTGTTCAACTGGGAATAAATTTTGGCCCACAGCTAATTCCAACTCAGCCATGTCCCTCGCCATTCTCAGCTTCCCTGATTCTGAAAGGGGTCTGACAAGAGAAGCATGCCTGATAAAGAGAATCAAAACCCTTGAAGCCATGCTCCTCACAAGCCTCGTGCATATGGTTTCTGTTCCTGCAGTTATAGCATTGGCTGAAGATGGCAACAACCTAGATAGGAACTCACAACGAAAGTGAAGGATGCACTTTTGTAACTCCTCCATGTAAGGTGAAGCATTGTTATCCATAGCAGCATCCATGTCAAGTGCGGAAAAGTTCTGGTCATGGATTTGCAAGATGCAAGATTCAAGACGATCAATCATTGCCTGGAACAAGGATGCTATTGAGTCGCATGCAACTCCATATATTGCACCAAGTGAAGGTGACAATACATCTGCAGCAATAGTTGGAAGCCCCATGATCATAGAAGTTACTTGTGTATGAATTTCTTGTAGATGCTGACATAATGCAAAGTTCTTGAGCTGAGATGCAGTAGCAGGACCAGATACTTGGCGGGCTTCAGGACCAGTTGATATCTGCCAGTTTAACAAAGTTGAATACACTTAGTGTTTCATATATATGTATGAGTGTTTGTGAGTGTTTTGTATGCGGAAATTATGTACTTTATGACACACACAGCTGTATTAAACATATGGGACTTTCTCAAGTTCAGATTTCAGAAATAACAATATAGAATAGTGTTGTAACTTCTAGTGAAACACGTTTATTTGATGATATGAAATTTAAATGTTACCCCAGTAAGTTATGTCACGAATTGCAAAGTGATGTTATAGAAAACATGCCAAATATACCAAAAACTTACAATGAAAAGGTGGGGACAAAAATACTAACATGTTCTCAGACAAAAACTCGTATAAACAAACCATAGCAGATTAGTTAAGGCAATGAGGCAGTAACCTCCTTTGCCCTCCCCTACCCTGATCGGCTGATCCCAATTCTAAATCAAGGATATTATGTATTTGGCATAAGATTTTGCACAGGAAAAAACAAAATACCAGATATTCGGCTCGTTCTGCGATCAGCAGCAAGACTTTACTAATTTCATGCAGCACAAGAAGAGTCAATCGAGCATCCAATTGAACAGCTTCAATTTCTTCCTGAATGCGAGAAAGAATTCTAGAGATCTGTTCTTTGGAAGGAACACTACCACGGCTGGAGACTGGAAAAACAGAATTAACAATATCGGACAGACGGCTTAGGCAGCCAGCCAAGAAACCCATCTGGAAAGTTTCAATAGCTGCAACCATTTGACCTTTTCCCTCCAAAGATATTGCTGGTAACACCCCCTTGACATCAGTGTCACGTGAAATTCCTTCAAGAAGGTTTTCCATCACAGAGAAGAGCTTCGGATACCCATTTGTGAATACCTCTTTCACAAAACTTGATGCAGTAAAAGCAGACTTCATTTGGGTAGCAAAAGCCTTAACCAGAGCTTCCCACACTCTATCTGTTAGCATGGGATCACTCTCCTACACCAAGCAGCATAAATAATTACAGTCAAGAGGAAAACAGCAGCTTCATATTATGACATTTCCTATGTTGTTACTATGGCTCTTCATTTTTCTCTAAGTAGTGATGAATGTAGAGATATAAACATGGAAAAACATAGGTAGAAAAACAGAGCATAGGGACTCATAAACGTATCTAAAGCTAAACTAGACTAATTCAAGTATGAATAGAATGACCACGGCAGTAAGAAAATGAAAATAAATCAAAATGGGTTACCTTAATTACTTCATCAATCAGTAAGACATGCGAAAAAGGGTCTCTCTTCTTCGACAAAACCCTCTGCAAATGCCAAATTGCAACCATTATAGAATGCAACTGATCCATACAACTCCCCATCCGCTGCCACAACGCCTCTCTTGCCTTCCCACTGCCTCCAATCTGCGGCGTTCCGCTCCCCCTAATACCTCCAGGACCAAATCCGCCGCCGCCACCAGCTGAAATAGCCTTCATATCCAACGCCACGCTCACACTCTTCACACCCATCCCCTTGTATTTATTCACCAACTGCTCCACCGTCCCTCTCAACTCCCCAAGATTGTAAAACACCTGCAACCCAGTCCCCACTTCAGCCTGATTCAACCCTTCCATTCCCTTCTCCAAAACTTTCATTGCTTCACTTCTTAACTTGCTCCCTATCTCTTTGACCGCATTGATTTCCTCGTCGACCGTATCGATGCCGCCGAGATCATATTCCTCGGACAAGGTCAAGATATCATTATGCAGCTGAGCAGCCTTGGCGAGATCCAACTTATCAGGCTCTACTTCAGCTGAAGCCATAAGGTCTCGTAGCTTTTTGGAAAGACGAATAGCGCGAATGGAGTGGGAGAGAAGCTCGGAAGTTTTATGTAAATTCGAGAGCTGGACCGTTTTGGAGAGGATTGCATTATGGGGTTCGGAGAGCTCGGATCGGACACGACGAACCGAAGATTGAAGCGAAGAGACGGAAGATCTAAGAGTGGAGAGGGAGACCTCAGTGTTGTTAAGAGAAGATAACTGAGTGAGGAGGAGGGGGTGGTTGGAGAGGACGTGCGAACGGATTTGGGAGTCGAGTTGGCGGATGGCTTGGAGGAGATGTTCGGCGGTTGAAGCGGGGGATCCGGAGGAAAGAGCGGCGGACGAGAAGGAGGTGGAGGAAAAAGAAGGGGAGAGGAAAGGAGAGAGGATTGGGTCTTTGGCAAAAGAGTCGATAATGGAGGAAGGCGGAGGACGGGGAGCATGAGTAGAAGCGGGAGGGTTTTTGAAAGTGGAGAGACGGTGGAGAGGGGAGGAAGCGACGGCGGCGGCGGTGGTTGGGGATCTCTGGAGGGTGGCCGGAGAAACCATTTTTTTTTTTTGTGGGGTGGGGTGGGAGGGGGGTTGGTTTGCAAATCAAAATTGAACAAAATTCCTTCAGATCTATCAAGAAAATTTAGGAAAAGATTTAAGGAAAATGCAGAATCAGTCCTTTATTTTATAAAATATTACACAGTTTATCACTTAAGTTTCCAACAAATTTTATTTATCACTATAAAATTGTAAATTAAACTCTACTGTTAGACTTTGTTTTAGTTGTAAAAGAATCGTACCAATTAAGTTACCCCAATAATTAAAGAATTTATTAGTATTCTTTGAAGTCTCATATTCAAATACCACATATGCAGATAGTGATAGACCCAGAAATATTTTTTAAGGTGGACACATATGTTAAAAACATAAATTTTTTAAATGGAATGAATACAGATAAAATTTCAGTGTGGACACCATTCATAAAATAAACAACTAATTGAAGAAAACTCAAATTTCAGGGTAGGCACGAAAAATTTCAGGTAGACATCATCAGTAAAATAAGTAACTAATCAAAAATTCGAATTTTTGGGTGGACACGTGCCTACCATGACTAAGTCGTGGCTCCGCCACTTTATGTAGAGGTATAAACATTTATTGTCAAATGATTAAGATTAATTGAACATGTACCACCTTAATTATTTCAATTTTATCAAAAAAGAAATTGTAACAAAATAACATGAAAATGAGAATAATATATAGGATAAACTATGTATTTAGTTAAATTAAAAAATTAGTGATCAAAACAAAATTAAAGTTATAATTGAATGACAATAAAAACATTTTTTATTTTCTACAAAGAAATAGCACTGAATGTGACTATATCTTTTATATTTTAATAACTTATATGTAAATTATATTTGTAAATTATATTTGTTACTAAATTATTGTATTTCTCCTATCTTTATTAATATTATTTTTCAACCATTAATATTTAAAATTTTAATAAAGATGATAATATCACATAATATAATAATAAATATACATATAAATGTATTATAATTATCATGAATTATGTTAAATATTAGAATCTTTTATATCCTTCTCATATTATTATTGATCTCTCTTTCATTTATCTTATTCTTGCCATAAATTTTATAATTTTATGACAATAATTATGTTTAAAAGGTTATATTTATTTAATTTTTGTCAGAATTAAAATATTTTTAAGCATGTTAAAATCAATTTAAGGAGGGAAAAAAGATATAATTTAGTAGGAAAAAATAAAAGGAGAAAAATGAAAAACAAATTGTACATCCCATCCCATGAAAGAAGAAACAGAAACAAGGTAATGGTGTGGTACCAAATACCAATACAGGATGGAAGGAGGGTCCTACAAATAACAGGGATTTAAATATCGGTTTGTTGTCGGAATAACAACTGCTATATAACAGTAATGATGTTATCTGAAATCGTTATTGCACGACCGTGATACCCTTAATGCACGCAATAGTATCCGTTATGTCCGCAATGCAACCGGAGTCGCGACCGCAATCGCACAAGATGGAAGGAGGGTCCTGAAGATAACAAGAATCTCTCTAATGGCTAAAACGAACGTCCAGCTCCCAAAATTTTACCTACAGAATCGAAACAAAAACAAGCCTGAGCTCCACACACATATGATCATTCAACATTCAGACACAAAAACAAGCCTGAGCTCACACAAATGATCATTCAACATTCAGACACAAAAACAAGCCTTTGTCCTTAAATAACATCCAATCCCATCTCAAAAGTTTGACAACCATAATTTGCCAGACTACAGAGCTAGTCTTGTACAAGAGATTTTCGATTACATATCCAAAAAGCTGCGACCGTATCAAATGAGATGGCTGCAATTCTAAACCTAAAATATTTCCATTTTAGCATTCCAACAGTCACCCAGATTTGGTAAATTACAATTTGAATGCCATGATGTTTACAAGTTAAGAGTAATAGGGCTCATTCTATTGTATACTGAAAAGTGCAGATAATTTGTCAAAGTAAATGCAACGGTAATATAATCCTTAAAAATGAAATGTATGCTATATATACACACAAATAGATAGACATATATAGTAACAAGGCTGGCAGACAAAAGAATTAACGCAACTAATATATACTAATTGCAGATGAAAACACATGTGCACAATTATAACATCTTACAAGGAAAATAGGTTAAATGTATACAAATGGCGATTAAGTCTGCTTTTTCGTCACTAATGTTTGAAAAGCTATCTTGTAGTCATTAACATTATCGATTTATTACATTATTATTACTTAACTGTTAACTCCCGTTAGCGAAACAATGATGTGATGCGTAAAAAATAGATTAATATATAATTTGTCCCCTGAACTACTGTTAAAATATCAATTTGGTATTTTAACATTTTGACTATAATTCTTAAAAAGAACTCTTAAAATTGTCTATTAAAGATTTTAACAGAAGTGATTAATTCACTAGGCCCATGTTGATTTTGCTTTACACTTTCTTTTTATTTCCTTCTTTATTTTGCTTTCTTCTCAAACAAAACTATCACTTTTTCGCGCACAAACTGGCTGCCCCCTAGAACCATCATCGTCCAGCCCTGTTTCTGGGCAAATGACACACCAGCTCCATCTTTTGACGACCAGAACACGACTGCAACCTTTGTTTCTTCCAAATCAACCCTGAGTTAGTCTCAAACACTTGAAGCTTCTTTAACCCCGATATCCTTTTCTGGTCGCGGGGTTAAAGAAGTTTCCTCTCCTCGAAACCACCTTTTGGATTGACCTGAAACCTTCCGAAACGCCACAAGGCCTGATACTTGATACTTCCCTTTTTCTCTTATTTCCTTTTTGGTTTTGGTTGTTGTTGGTTTTTTCCTTTTGGTTATGTTATGGTGGTTGTTGGTCTTTTGATGTCAGGTGGTAAAAACAATTGGTTGTGGATCGTAGGTTGATCGATGAGGCTTTGGTGTAGTGACAAGGATCGGGATTGGGGTGATGAGGAAAAGGTGTTTGGAGAAGACTGGTTCAGTAGAAATATGGAGTTATGAGTGAGATGAGGTTGAAGTTCGGTTGCAGCAACAGTGGTTGGTTGTTTCTTATTAAGAATTTTATATGTTCATCTGATTTCTTCAAAGAGATTTAAAATTTTATACAAATCCTATATATTTCTTGATATTTTTAGAATTTTTGAAGTATAAAATTGGCCATATACTAAGGTGCCAGATCTAGTTCAAGCAACCGAAAAGAGTACAGTTTAAATACTATGAAAGCATTGAAAGATAAAAGAAACTCCATCCTCAGCCCTACAACACTAGAAAGTTTCAACTTTGGTTATTTAATTAATAAATTGCATGTATATGTTTAATTAATGTTATATAAATATGAAACTAAATAATCAAATATGAAATAACTCAATCCAATTATTTAATTGCATTGTTCACAAGAGGTAAAAAATTATTTGGTGATTTAAGTTTTGACAATAAATCAGTATGGTTTATTCAGTTTTAATGGTTTAACCGATATATTCGGTTTGCTGCATACGCAATTTTCAGTACGAAAAAGCAGCTGTCTAAAAGGAAAGATAATAACAGTCAACTGACAACAATCATCGCATAACAAACATAAATAAAAGACCATCCCTAAATTAACTAGTCAAGCAGGTCTGGATTCACGAAAATAAGCTATAGCGATTACCTAGATTGAAGGAGATTTTGACGGCTAACTCCCCGTCCCTTGTCCACCTGGAGTATTTGTTTGCTGCTGTTGCTTCTGCTGGACCTGGAGCAGTAGGCTAGCTGCAAATTGCAACGTTGACTGGTATCGCTGATTCCTATCAACCTCCACATCTGATGTGCCTTGACCAGCACCAGAAAGCACAGATTGCTGTGGCTGTACTTGACTAAGAAGGTCCGAGTTATTTCTGTCACCTTGCATCAGATTTTGTGCCTGGGAGACAGTAGCACCATGAATCTGATTAGACAGAACATTCGGATTGCTCGGCTGCTGAAGAGCTGGTGCACCATACAAACCGGAAGCATCGGTTACATGCATCATTCCATAGCCTTTCTGAGTACCCGGAGGAACTTGAGCCTGGTATTGCTGGTTAATAGGGGTAGAAAATGCACTATGTTCATTTTGAGATGGGATATTGAAATTAGTCAATGGCATTGATGATGCAGCACCTTGCTGTGGCAAGCCGATGACAGACTCCTGAAACTGAGTGCCCCAATGGGCCATTTGGGCTGAATGGGCAGGTGTACTTGATATGGTGGAGTAATGCTGGGCTGGTGGTAATTGTGCAGAAGGATTAAACTGTTGGAAAGATGGGGCTGCAGACTCATAAGCTTGTTGGCCCTGGTTCCAAGTTTGTGCAGCAGCTCCTTTAGGTGCAATTGTTTGAGCAAATGAGGACTCCGTAGTCAATGTCATCAATGGAGGCTGAACACCTCCTACAGCAGCAGACTGCGAGGTTGTCGGGAGAAAGGAGGCTAAAGTAGCAATCAGATCGGGTGTTAAAGCAACACCAGTTTGGGAAAGTGATGCTGCAGTATTGGGCTGTTGACTTTGCATAGTAGATGATTGTCTGGTTGATCTTGCGGGAGGTTTGGAGTCCTCATGCAAAACCCTTCCATACGTCTGTTCTTCCTTCAGATGACCATAACCAGGATGAGGAAGAAGAGGTGGATATGGTTGCGATGGTGCAGCGCTCGGTACCTGTGGAGTCAACTTCAGAACAACACCATAGAGCCGTGCAGGTCCTAAAACTTTTAGAACTTTTGTTAAGAATTCAGAAGGAGGCACCAAAAATAATGTAGTCCCATCATCGAATTTAGCAACACCTGCTCTGTTTTTTGAACCAAGGTAGCGAAGGAATTCAGTGTATGATGCAAAATCATCTTCACTGTCTGGTAAGAAGAAAACAACATCAAATCCAATGGCCTCACGGTAGTGTTTTGCTAGCATATCTAATCCTGTTCTGGCTGAACAGTTAACAACTTCGGGACTGAAGAAAACAGGAAATTCAGTGAGCAACAACATAGAAACAAAGAAAACTCTAATTTAACATAGTTTGAGGAAGCAAGTCTTAAAAAACCAGGCCCTTGTTAGCCACTGTCCCACCCACGAAAACAAAGACAGTTATTTAGCAAACATGAAACTTCACTCAAATCTCTGAGATACTAGACATTAACAACCGCTAAATGTAAAAGTTGCAGGTTAGATGTAAACTTGCCCGAAAGGGGTTCAAGAACTTAGTTATCCAACAAATTACGTGTAGCACAAAAAAGTTCCAAGAGCCAACCCAAATTTCAGCTATTTTATCTCCCTTTGCATTAGGCGTGTCTGATGTACCTGAATGTTTACTAAATTCATCCTCCAATTTTAAGAGACCTATAGTACTTGGACTTGGGTGTGAGTGGTAAATACGGGTATGTTCATTTTTTTCAAGTGTTGTACATGGGTATTTTCTAGTAACATACAAATGAATGTGTCCAACAATCATTCTGAAACAGATCCATCAGGTAAAACCTCTATATGCTGCCTCCAAAATGCAAAACAGAGAATCACATTGGATATTTTCATGGACCGGACGAGGAATTGAGGATTTTCTTTTCACAATGGAAATCCACAAAGTAAAGAATCAAGGAAAAAAGAACACTTACAGTTCTATCTCTAGCCCCTTTCCGATGGTAACACATCGAGCATGACAAACAGGCGTTCCACCCTTGGCTATAATGCCTCTCCACATGAAATCATTATTAGGAGGGGCTGGTCCAGGCCCACCGGTTGTGACCTTTCCAGGAACAGGACTTAAATGACCCTTTCCCTGGACATTCACAAATGGACCTGAAGCACCCCCACCAATTACTGGCCCAAGATCATCTATAGGCATTGCAGTCTCTATCCTTGATCGTTTTGGACCTCTCTGAAATTGGTTCACGTCATAAGCATCCCACGAACCAGATGCTTGTCTCGGTGAAGGCCTAAAACCTTGAGCAGAAGGAAGAGGAGGAGATGGCCTTTCCCTATTTACACCAACGAGATTTTTAAGATCAGCATCCTGCATATTATGATGTACAAACAAATCATTGTATTCTTGATGATTAAAAGACCTGATCGGCACATTTGATCCAAGAATACCATTGGATGGCAACGATCCAGATACTGTATTTGGTAGCAATGGATGATTTTGTGAAGGCCTAAATGGATGGTCACCGAACATCATGCCAGGCCTTGGCCCCTTTATGTCTGAATCAAAGCTGTAATCTCTCCCAGGTGCAAGTTCACTGTTTGAGTAATTAATGGTGATCCTTGGATCATTAAATAAACGACCCTGTAAGCCCTCCTTTGCACGCCGAGCTTCCTCCACACTCCTGAACTCCACAAAGGCATAGTTTCTTGACGGGAAGCTTTTCATGTTCTCAATCTCACCGAAGAGTATCATGGCATTATGAAGCATTTGTTCATCGATTTGCACAGAGGGAGGGTAGCCTACCCACAAAACTTTGCTAGGCTGACCATCAACTTGTCGGCCACCTAATTGAGAATGCTGACAAAATGATTCAATACATCAGATACAAAAATATACAAGTCATGTGCTAAACGTCAGTGCAGGAACAATGAAGAACATTATGCAAAATCTAGTTCAAAAGAAGATTTTCGGTTTGGAACTCACTTCTCTTTGTGCAACAGACTGGCTGTCATAAGACCTCATCCTACCAGAAAAGGTCCCATCCCTAAGGTCATGAGAATTAAGCCATTGATCCTGTGAAAAGGATTGAGAAAATTCGTTCAGTATGAAAATTACCAGCAACAAAAGCATTCTAAATGCGTATTTCAAGAATACATGCAAGGAGCGCAGAACTGGATTGACATGCTTTATGCACAGGAATATATTAGTAACGGAATCCAGATGCCAATTCTAACTAAAAGCCAATTCCTACGTTGTTCATTTTTCTTGAATTACCAAAACATGGATGGATACAAAATATGCCCTCCAACGACCCCAAAAACACATGAAAAAACTCCTTATATCCAATCATCTCACTCGAGTCCAAGTAACATAAGATTGTTTAACTAAGGATAAATATCAAAACTACACATGAACTTTCATCAAATGCGCAAAGTTATACATGAATTTTAATTTTGCTCAATTGCATACATGAAGTCTTGATTTGATCCAATTTTTTTCAAATTACTAAAGCGATTATTAACATGACATCGCTTTACATTCAAATATTGTATTTACAAATAATTATATTTTATTCAATATGAAAATAAATAGATGTTCTTATTTTTTAAAATGTATATAATGGAATAAAAACCAGAGCTTTATGCATAAAACTGAACCAAAATGAGAGTTTCATGTATATAAATAATTGCAGAAAAACAAAGTTGGTGTATAACATTACACACAGGGATGGATCAAAGGGGGGCGAGTGGAGGCAGTCGCCCCTAAAAGTTTCAAATTCTTATATATTTTAGATATTTTCTTTATATTTTCAATTGATAATCTGTTTCCGCCCCTATAACATAAGTTCATGCGTCTGTCACTGACTACACATATAATGAAAGTTGATGCATAGTTATGATATGTATCCCTTCCAACTATTAAAAGAAGACTTGGAACTCAAAAATGAAGGTACTTACTCTTCGGGATCTCCAGAAATCGACACGAATCTGTTCGCCACCAAGCCGCTTCCCGCTCATGCTTCTCATGGCCTGGGAAGCATCTTCCATTCTCGAATACTCAACAAATGCAGTATTTCGATCTCTAAGGAACTTGAAATCTTCAATTTTACCAAACTTACGAAACTCCTCTTCCAATTCTTCTCTGGAAACAGTCTGGCTAATCCCACCAATCCATAGATTCTTACAAGGTTTTGCCTGAGGAATTTCCACAACAAACCCCGAAAAAAAAGATCACAGATTAGACATGATTTCACAAGTTCACGTGACTGAAGAAATGCAAGAAAATGAATGGATTTGGTCTCTCTCTACATGAACAATATCAACTCTCTCTTGAGTTGGCCATATTTAACAAACCCCAAATGGTGATTGTTGAATCCAGCTCGTTATTATCATTTCAGTTGGTTGATAAATCCCATTTAATCACCTATTTTTTTATATTGCCATCTAAATTTACCAAAATTTAACCAAACTACGATTCATTAGCTCGGAAACGTTTTTGGGGGAAAAGTAGTGAAAATCAAGTAAAACCCAAATCATTTTTGAAGGGAAAACATATATTTTTTTGTTTGGCTTTTTCTTTTGTGAAGAATCCCTAATTTTAAATAAAAAATCAATTTTTTTGCACGCCTTGTGTTGTTCGATTGAATTGCTTGTTGGAGAATTCAAAGAAGTATTTTTTTTGTCTGGTTCATTTTTCATCTTCGGCTCAAGCCTGGCAATTCTTCTGTTAAAAACGCATGGAATTGGAAAACCTAGAGCTTCGCTAGCAGCAATGGTGTACATGCTTTCCGTTGACAGAATGATAGCAGGAAATATATAATTCGATCAATTGGTATTCTATTTGTACAATCTTCGAAGAAAATCGAATTATATTTTGAAAACCCAAATTACTGGGCTTTCGAGCCTTAAATCCTTGGATTTTGAAAATCGCTTAGCTCTTGCGAAGATTTCCCAGTTCCGGTATAGAAGTAAGTACCAGAATTATACCGTCTACTTCACTATGGTTCTTTTTAATCGATTAATCTCGCACTAATCTCATATTTTGACTGCATTTCGTGTTTAAATTCGAGTTTTCACGTGAATGGTTCAAAAAAATAAGAATTTGGAAGAGACCTAAAACATCGGTTTCTCTTCAAGATTCCTTCAAAGTATAAACATATATATTTATACAAAAACTGCGAAGCTTTTGAAAACCCTAATGAGACGGAGAAGAAAAGAACAACGAAACGAACCGGTCGAGCGAACTCAATCTTGAGATGGTTTCCGTGCAAGGTGGCTCCCTGGAGAGCCTCCCTCGCCACCATGGCGTCCTCCACGCGCTTAAAGTAGACGAAAGCGTAGCTTCTCGAAGAGTACGCGGTGACGCTATCGAGTGCGCCGAATTTGCTGAACAACTCCGTCAGATCCGAATCCACCGTCTCGGCCGACACGTTCCCCACCCACAAATGGCTCGACGTCGGTACGGATTCCTCCGATTGATAGCCTAGCTTCTGTAAGTTCACCGGCGGCGCCATTGTACGGGATTTTAAAGTTGGGGCTTTAAGAAATTGATAGAGCGAGCGAAACCCTTGAAATTTTGAAAATAAGATTAAAATTGAATTTGAAAGAGAAGGATGGCAGCAAGATGAGATTTGGGCAAAATATATATACATAAACCTCAAAGGATAAAATGATAGGGCCACACCGAACCGTTGCCGTTTTAAAACAAATAAAATCGTAAATGAGACGAGATACATCGTGAGTTATTCGAGATTGATTTGGTCAACGCTTGATAAATATTAACTCGAATTGAGCTTGAGCTTAAGTCAAATTCTTAATAAGTCAAAACGAGTTACTTGATAATTCAAAAATATATATATTAAAATTTTATTTTTTTAAAAAATAAATTATTAATAATATTAATATTTATATTTTTTTAATGTAGTAGAAAATTTTAATATACTTAAGATTCATATTTGAGTTTAAACTCCAACCGAGTAAAGGTTAAAATTTTTTATTTATTTATTAGCTTTGGTGAACATTTTTAAACTTAAAAATTTTATGCTCACGAGTTCGGTGTTTAGAGCTAGAAAGACCCACCATTTAAATTGAGGTGTAATTCAGATTTAGGTCCTCCTATTATGATAAAATTTGAGATTTGTTCCTTATGTTTTAATTTGTTACAATTTCGGTCCCTACTTGTCCAGAAATAGTAATATCATAAATTGTGTTCATCCTAAAACTTTATTCGTACTTACCCACATACAAAAATTTTATATCATTAATATATACGTGTCTACTTTCAAAACTATTTTTGGACTCATCACTATATACATCGTAGATAAATAAGGAAGTATCATATAAATTTGTGCTTTGCACAAATTTAATACACACAAGAATCATCCATTATAATAAATATGACAGATTTTTCGAGTAAATTTATTTTGTTTTCATCTGTCTGTACTGAAATCAAACGTATATAGTATAACAGCTTTTTATACGTTATAATCGGGGACTATTTGATCGAATCGAGTCGATTAGAATAAAAAATTGAGTTATTTAAGTTGACGAGTCATATTTTACAAATCGAAGTTCAATTGAATTTTTTTTGAGTCGAGCCGAGTTTATAAATTTGAGTCAAAATTTTGAATTTCTGTTTAAATTTAATTGTAAATATTTATAACATTATGCTATTATTTTATTATAATTTAAATGATTTTTTAAAATATATACAAACCATATGTATTTCTTCATATTTTTTAATCATATGTGATATACATGTATGATATATCATACAGAGTCAAGGGACTCGACTCAAACTTGAACTTAATATTTTCCAAATCGAGTTAAATCGAAAAATTCAGTTTTTCAAATCGAGTCGACTTTTATTCACCCCTGATTAGTTCTTGAATTTTAGATCATTTTTATTTTGGTCATCATACTTTTAAAATTTATATTGAAGTTACTTAACATCATAATCGCTTTATTACCATCACATGTCATTTTCCTTAATAAATCAAGTAATGTCAATGTTCTTGATAATTAATACCCTCCAAGATCATTTTCCTTAATAGGTTAATACGCTCCAATATATAGGCCTTGGTGAGGATTGAACTAAAGACTCATAATCTAAGGTAAAATTGGCCCAATAGGCAGGCCGGTAAACAAAATTGGTTTATTAGGCCAATCGAAAATTAATTTGGATCTACGACATTTACTATAGTGCATAGAAAACTCATCACGTCTACATGACAAGTTTGCCTAAATAATATTTTTATTTAAACTCGTTGCGTCTACGTGACAAATTTCAAAAAAAATAATTTTTATTAGAATTTATCACATCGAAGTGATAAGTTTCAATTAAAAATATATTTTATTAAAACTCATCATGCCAGCGAAAAAGTTCTAAGTCAATGTAGCAAATGTCGTATATCCCAAATTAATTTTTCGGATAATATAATGGGCCAATTATTTTACCTGGGCCAACTTTACTCATTATCTAATGTATAATCATTGGGCCAAGCTTAAATATTGCTATGATATTTAAGATATATTAATCATACTATAAATTATAAATATATATATATATATATATATATATATATATATATATAAGAATTTGTTTTTAACATAAATTTAAAAACATTAATTTTATAAAAAAATTATTTATAATTTAATATATGTTCTAAAAGTAAAAGGTTAATGAATAAGTGAGTAAAAAAGCAAAAATAAAAATATATTAATTATTATATAAATTATAAAATGTTATAAGAATATATTTATAACATAAATTATAATCATAATTAAAATACATATTAATATTTGAGTTTGATATATTATAAAATAGAATATGAAATATTTGAGTTTCTTTTTATTTCAAGAATCATGCATTGTATCCAAAGAAATAAAATTCAATCATGTTATACACAATGTGATCAAGATCAACATGACTGAATGTTGCAAAATCAAGTACTTATTCAAATATAGGAAAGTGTAGAAAACAATGCCATGCGGTCATTTCACACACACACACACAAAACATTGCTTGAGAAAATTCCTTCTAGGATTTCAGATATTTCTGTAATGGGACCATCTCCAGGAGTAGATATTGGGACATGTGAATAGTGTGTGACTTCTTCAGTCATCTTTAGGAATAGAGATCGGGAATGAATCGTCTAGTGAAAGGTATTGGGATACATGAATCATGGGCGACTTCTTCAGTTGCGGGTGGACGAAGGTTTAAAGGATCAAGTTTGTAGATCAGCCATAACACAACTGTAATAACAGCGAGGGCCGCGATTTACCTCGATAAGGCGTTCGGATGCAGCAGCAACAGAGTAGAAAGAAAACTGGATATTGTATTGCGGTCACAATTCTGATATTGCTGCTTGAAATTCTGGGGTACATAAAGTCCGGGCGGCTATGTACAGTCAAGTAGAGGCCCGCCCGTCATGTTACTGCTCGACGTAATATCAGGCATACTCCAGCAAAGGCTTCAACCATTTTGATTGGGGACCGTGGGTTTGGATTTCGAGTTGAATATGCGTACATGAAACTTGCGACAGTCCCCAAATCCCATGCAAAATCAGGACGGTGAATAAATCTCATGCAGAATCATAAATGCATCAACATGCAAATTGATGGTGATGTCACAGTATTCAGAAGTCAGACACGTCGCGTATATATAAATATATATATATAATCAGATCACAAACATGTTTACAGATAGCAACATATAACATAATACATTAAATATATCGAACAAGTCAAGGGGACACAACTATAAGAGAAAAATGCATATCGGACAGGTCTTACTTTTCCCACATTAGTAGTTATAAGTCCTGCGGAATGGGAACCTAAAACAGTACTAGTCTATGAACACATAAACCATAATTCTAAACGGTAAAAGACTATAAAGTCACTAAATAATACTTTACGTGTATATTGAGATAAACGGGCAGAATCGAACGGAGCTGAGCGAGAATGGTCAGTGTCAACTGGTGAATGATGCTGAGAAGTGTGATCACATTCGGGAATTAATATCAGCAAGTGAGTCCAAAATCTCACAATTACTTAATTAAATCATGACTTTAAGCAATAAATGATGCAAAACATGTCTTTCGGGTCAGATTTTCAGGTCTTTTAGAATGTAATTTTTCCATTGAAAATTAAAACTTACCTTCTTCGTGCAAATCAATTGAAACTTTCTCTTGGGCAACGGTCGATTGTTGGGTGATTGTTGGGCGACGGTGGGCTACGACAAACAACAACGTTAGATTTGTGACATGATATTTTGGGGTGAATTTTTTAAAGAATTTCTTTAAGAATTTAATGAAAGAACGTAATTTAATTATCATTCTATTAAAAGTAAAACTAAATTTTAATTAATGATTAATTTTAAATAAATTCTTATATTTTTATTATTTATATAATAATGACAAAAATTTTTGTGGTATATTTCGTCACGTCGCTTTAGTGATACATTACAGTATACGACGTGTTGTAGAATTTTTATTGATTATATATAAGGTTAACCCTACTTTGGGGGAGTTTGCAATGTTTTCCCGCCCAAAATAGGCAGTTAAAAAACGGTTTTCTTTTCTTTAATTTTCCCCGTTTTGATGTGCATAACTTGATCATCATTCAAACATCTAAACTTCCTCTGAAAAATCTCAATGCCACCAATCCTTTTGCTTATCTTCTTCCTCTTCATGTCGGCTTCCGAGTTCGGGTTTTCTCAGTCCCCATGGTTCCCTAATTACCCACACCTGTTTTACGGCCAGGAACGTTTCAGAAACGGCGGTGATAGGCTTTCGAAACCTTTAATCGGAGACGGTGGAAGAATTTACGCTTGCTCCGAGAATACGTTGTTTGCATTCGAAAACAACGGTTCCATCGCTTGGTTCTTACCTTTGACTTTGAAATGCAACATGGCTAAGTCCCCAGTTCATGGAGGTAGAGGAAAGGTAACAACCGAACAAAAATTATCACTGCTTTTAATAGCTTCTTTTAGTTATTTTCAGAATGCAGTAATTGTTGATTTGTTCAAATATTGGTAGATCTATTTGATTGCAGAAAACAGGGTACTTCAAATCAATATCATTAAAATTGGAACTTCAGAACCTGCAATTCAAGTCTTGTTCGATCCTGGACCGGGTGAACGAGGAGATGAAATTGTTGGGATTGCAGTAAGCACATTGTGTTCATCTGTTATTATCAATGTTGAAAATCGGGGTTTGTTCGCTTATTTGATGCGGGGAGAACTACTCTGGAGTATTGGACCTGTGATGAATCAGTATGGCTACAGGCAAGGTTGCAGGAAAAATGTTTCAGATTGTTATTTTTCTTCAGCCCCTGTGATTGATCAATGTGAAGCTAGTATTTATGTAAGGTTTGCTTACCAGTAATTTGATGCAGGCATTTTAAGACTGCCAGCTGTTTGAGAAAATTCCTAGGTTGATATTTTCATTTTATTTTATTTTTTGCATATGCAGATCTCAAATACCGAAGGGGAACTTTATTCGTTGTCGATTCGAAGTCCACAGTTTAAATGGATTCAGGACTTAAGTTCATTTGATAAGGTTTACACCATTACGCCAGGAAACAATGGCCTATTATTTGTTACTGTACCTGTTAAGTCTCTTATTTTGGCACTAGACGTTTCTTCAGGGAATGTTCTTTGGCAGGCTAGTATTGGGCCATTGAGTTCTGCAGAATCTTCACCAGTGGTTGATTCTTATGGTCAAGTTTTACTTCTTTACCTCCAAATTTAGCTTCTTGCAAGTTGTCTTTTTATGATATCAGAGATACTTTTACAGCTTTTAACTTTGAAATTGAAAAACAACAGGTTGGGTGACAATTGGTTCATTGGATGGATTCCTATACTCGTTTTCACCTACTGGAACTCTCAACGAATTTGCTAAAGCAGATGCATTAGATTCTGTGATTCAATTTAGTATTCTCCTTGATTGTTCTGGTTATGCAGTATACTTTTGTCAGACAGAAATGGGGGGAAAGGTTATCCATATGAACGACCGTTTCACTCAGGTCTCTGCGATGAAACCGAAAAGATCGGTCTTCACATTGATGGTTCCATCCACTGGCAAAATCTACTGGTCTGAAAGCAATCATGGTGATTTACATCTTCCTTTTAATCATCATTGTCTATATTATTTATTGGATTTACATTCTCGGTTTTTATGGTTGATTTTATCAGGCAATTTTGTATCTTTGTTGTCCAAGAGTGATCTGCAGAACTTTGTAGTGGATGAGGGCATGCTTCTAGCTTTCATCACTGCTTCAAGTAAGATTTATAGAACCCGAATCCATGCTTCTTTAACTAAATAAACACATACCTGTGATATTTTGGATTTTGCAGAGATTGGCAACCAGCTATCCTGTCGAAGCAATGGTAATTCTTTGTGTTAAACGCTTCGCCATGTGTTATTTCTTTAATTAGTTATTTGACACAGATTTCTGAACCTGTCACCAGATCTAAAGCTTGCATCCAGCTGCTCCGAAGGAACTAGCAAGCACCTCAGCGTTTACACAGGTAAGATGGCAATTTTTGACGCAGCATGAAAAGTCTAATCGCACTAAATCCACACGAAAGCATCGGAATGCAAAATGTGTCGAAATTTAAATAACACAGGTTAAATCAATTACATTATGAAACATAACACGTATGCGATATGAATACTCCGACTGTTGACACAGTTTTACCTCTAGAATCAAGTGAGAGCTAAACTATCCCTTCATTTTCAGGTTATAGAAGTTCTATATTTCTCTTTCTATTATTGGAGTCCATACTATTGGTAGTTTTAGGTGCCGCCTTGCGGTTCTGTTGTGTCTTTTGGAGGAAAAAGAAGCTTCAAGATCAAGACCTAGGACTCTTCCTAGAAAAACGAGTAAGTTTTACACTTAATGTCGGATATGAAAATGTATCGATACAATATGTTCAAATTTTCCACTATCCAGAGATCTCTTCAACTTAAGAGGAAAGCAATTGATAGAACAATTACAGAGCTTGAGCAAAAGGCAACAGCGGCAGGAGTAACAAAAGAAGCAACAATGGAAGAACTTGGTGAACTCGTTCAGAAAAGGCAAGGAATTACGAGAAAGCTATCGACGAGCTACAGTTTAGGCAGAGATGAAACAGTTTCGAATCTGAAATCTGTTCTTCCATTATACAGTGGAGGAACAAGGAGCTGTTCTTTCCAAAGGGCCAAGGAAGGAAGTTTTACAATTTTCCAAACATTAAGCAATACATCTTCAGAAGAAAGCAGCAGCGACAATGTTTCGGATTCTGAAGTAGAAGAGAATCCTGCCGTCAAAGGAAAGGCAAAGGCAGCCATTGAAGTTGAAAGTTCAAGTGATGATGAACAGCTTGAGAGAAGATATCAAAGAAGTCCAGAACCAGTTTCAAGCTCAAAAGGGTATATGGATTCCCCGTTTGTTCAGCAAGAAACTGTGCAAGAAAATTTTCATGGAGCGGGAATGGTGGCAACATCCATGCCAAGTAGTAGCAGAAGCCTTAGGCTAAAGAGGAGAACCTTTTCTTCATTAATGTAATTAATGTTAATTACACAGCAGGATCTTGAACAAGGTTTTTATAAATTCAGACAAATCCAGGTTATGCTATAATCATGTAAGCAGGAAGCAAAATGTTGTCATGCATTTTATTACCAAAAGGCCTAAAAGATTGAACATGATCAATAAGCAAATAATATGTTGAGATTTGCTTACGAGATTCAAGTATCGAAAAAATAAATCATATGTACATGGAAATGTAAACATTGGTGGTGTTTGATCGTTTCGGAATGGAAGAGCAACCATCAATTCAGCTATACACAAACAGAAATGAAGCATATCATATATGAAGTAGCTATGTATGTTAGTCCAAGAAATTATCCATCGCTCGACGTATGGCACCCAAAGCTTCTGCATCATTTGCAGTCGACGGAATTTCTAATGCCTGCCGGATTTCTGCATTTGATGTCCGAAGGAATGGATTGCATGCCTTCTCCATCTTTAATGTACTTGGAATCTGAAACATCACGGCCTTACCTCAATCGGATCACGATCATTTTTTACAAAACTCATGAACTTCATGAGCTATGTTACTCGGACCCAAATGTGGCTTTTGGATATGATTAGTTTGATACAAATATTGACATATATGTCAAGCATAGATGGTTTAAGAAAAACGAAGAGTCCGGATAACATAACTCACTAGTATAATTTTAACATTTTAAACTTCAGGAGATCCTAGAAACCAGTTAAGAAAGAAAATAATAACTCTCGGAAATTACCGTAGGCAATCCCTTGTTGCGAAGGTGAGCTACATGGGTGGCATAAGCCTGAAGGGCATCATTCTTGGGCTCTATAGATAAAGCATATTTCGAATTACTCTGCCAAAACGGACACGTGTATTGTTAGAACCTATCGGAATTGTCCGGGAAGGTTAAGTGATTGGGGTCCAAAAATAAGTAGACTAACCAAAGTAAATTCATGACCACAGTATATATTTGTATCATCAGGCAGCAACATAATCCGCTGTAGAGAAGAAAGCATCTGCCAGATAGAACTCAGATGTCATGATAGTATCAAAAACTATGAAGATTTGCCGGATTATAAAAGGATTGAGATATATACCACCAGAAATCTAGAATAAAACTAAGAAGTTTTAATTTAACTCCATGAACCTTCAGTTAGAATAAAAAGAAACTAGTGTCGAAAATATCAGAATGACACGTGCAATTGTAAATGAAGTTAGGGTGTCGACAGTCAGCTACAATATGATAAAATATAGATGTCAGGATTACTTTCTCTGGCGTTCCTTCCAAAAGCTTGCCACATGATAAGCTTAACAAAGTGTCTCCGGTAAATATTGCCCGAGAACCAGGAAAATAGAAGCTAATATGGCCTGCATATGACAAAATAAAATTTTAAAAAGAATTCTCATTAACTTTTGATATTAAAAAAAGTATATAATTCATGTGATTTCCAATGGAACTGGCAAACAAATCTAACCTCGGGTATGACCAGGAGTTTCCATGATTTGTACCTCATGACCTTCAAACATCCACTTTTCCCCATCATTTAGAACAATATCAATTCCGGGAATCCTATCCTTGTCTATTCCAGAACCGATCACCTTCATGAAAAACCACAATTACTGTTGTTATTATTATTATGGCTATTATGAACAAGAACCAAAGGACATATTAGGCTACAGATAGCTATGCCATAGATGAGCTGATAATTTGAGAGAAAATTAACTATCTGATACGGGCTGAAAGGTGACAGAAAACTTAGAACTAGATAAAATTTGTCATACCTTTGCACCATACCTTGCTTTTAACTCTGTATTCCCACCAGTGTGGTCGTGATGGTGGTTGGTATTCAATATATAAGTCAAATTCCAGTCTTTACGGCTCAAAGCATCAATAATCGGTACTGCTTCTGAAGGATCAACGACTCCAACAGTGCCTGTGTCCACATCATGTAAAAGATACGCATAATTGTCTCCAAGACATGGTACCTGAAAAAATAGGAAAAAAAACAGTTAGGGAAAGGCTCATATCAAATGTACATGAAAACTGTAATTTTAACCTTCAACAACAAGAAGTCGAACGAATCATTTTTCATGTCAAACAAGAAATGCAACAAACAGTCGAGCAAAAGCAATAGTGAAAAACCTGCAATTAAAGATTGAAAGAGTTTTGCTCACCAACTCAATTTGTAATGAGGAAGACATATTTGAAACGCTGCAAAACTCTGCAACCCTAAGAGATCGACTCGCTCCACTCAAGGTTTTGAAGGGAATCGATAGCAAGCGCATAAGGCCATACACGAGACCCTTTCTAATGCAAAGTTGCCTCTTGCCAAACCAGACACAAAGCCCACTCCTCACCTAAAACATTCGAAAGCAGGCTTTCAAACTTAAATACTAAGCCAACATATACACAAGAAAAAAGGGACCGGCAATAATAATCAACAGATTTTAGAGAAGCTCCATGGAAAATAATAATGAAAATTCATATCGAAATTCAAAGCATTTGTCCTTACAATCGAGATCCTAAACCACCAATATCTAATTTTTTTTTATGGAAACACCAATACTATGCATGACACGATTTCACAGCTTGGATGTCCATAATTCCAAATAGAATAAAAACAAATTGATCAAAACTGAAGTTCCATTCGAAGTAGAGGCTTCTTTCGTGAAGCCGATGTTAGTCCAACTTTTCATTCTTTTTTCTCCAGAAGTAGCTATGTTCAACAGATAATTGGACAGGTATAAAATCCTCAAAATAGTTGTCTTTCTCTTAACACAAGTTCTGATTGTCTTTCTTTAACACAAGTTCTGATTGTCCTAATTAAGGTAAAACTATAAGAAAAACATGACTGAATTTTGGAAGATTGCAATAAAAGTAAGAATGGCACAAAAATCAAACCAAATATCACAAACAATACCAAAAAGATCATAGCAATACCAAAAAAAAAACCCATTTCCTCAATTAGCCACAACATGACAAAAAAATCAGATCTTTGCCATTACATTTTCATTTCTGTTCCCCAAAAAAAGTTGGAAATTCAACAGAAGAAAAAACAAACATGCAAAATAAAAAGAAAAAAAGAAAAAGGAACGAAACGGAAGGAAGGAAGAAGCAAACCCTGGAACAAGGAAAGGAGGGCATAGCAGATGAAGCTTTACAGAGTGTCACGGGGCTAGACTGCTGCTAGCAAGCTCGTGCAGCCTTAGACGTTTTCTTGGTCGAAAACCGGCTAAGTGACCCGAACCTTCACTAAACAAGAATGCTTAGAAAGTTGTTAACCCAAAGAAAATTGAGGAAAATAAAGAGATGGGCGATCTAAAGGAAGAAGAGAGATTTGAGAGTGAATACTAGTTTGTATTTCTCAACTTGAGGTGTGTAAATGAAGGGGGGTGAGCCTCCTTTTATAGTTGGAGTCCCCTACAATGAACGGTTGGGATTAAAATACATCAATGACCAAGATGAGAGCTCTACACTATTTACAACAAGTGGGCAATGAGTTGGCATCATTATCTTCTAAGATAATGCTAAATAATTATCATGTCTCCAAGGTGGATTGGATCAGCTCACTTGGGTCTTCTAGAAGGCCCAGAACGTGGTAAAGATAGTCTTTGGCAGCCTTGATTGTGTTGAGTTCGGTCATGGGCCTGTGACATTCTCCCCCACTAGTTCTAGCGACGCCCTCTTCGCGCGGCTAGAGTGAAACTGGTCTATCTTATCTCGGAATTGCCATAAGTCTTCGGAAGGCTCCCAACTTCCTTCACTCTCGGGAAGTCCCTTCCACTGAACAAGGTATTCATGCCTTGGTCGATATCCCACTCTATGAACGGCTCTCTCCGCATGGATGGCCCTACTTCCTTCTTGTAAGAGACTTTTACCCCGACTGGCGCTCAGTGTGACTTGCCTCGATCTAGTTCTTCCTCATCCTGATGGTATGGCTTCAATAAACTCACATGGAACACAGGATGAGCTTTGATGGTCGGAGGCAACTTCAATCTATAGGCCATGGTGCCTACTCGCTTTAGAACTTTGAATGGCCCCTCGTATCTTTGCACAAGCCCTTTGTGATATGGGTTGCGCAAGATCCCACTTAATTTGGCAAGGACTAGGTCACCAACCTCAAAATTGACGTCCCGATGCTTTCGATCCGCCCACTTCTTGGTTCGCTTCCCGGCCTTGTGCAAGCAAGCTCGGGCTAGTTCATGTTGTTCCTGCCACTCCTTGGCAAATTGGTATGCTATTGGATTCGGTCCCTTGTACCCGGTCGCAATTGCATTTGGTGTGAGCGGTTGTTGTCCGGTAACTATCTCAAATGGACTCTGATTGATCGCTTCACTCCTCTGCAAATTGTAGGAAAATTGGGCTATATCCAATAATTTTGGCCAGTCATGTTACGTGGCACTCACATAGTGCCTCAAGTATGTCTCTACGAGCGCATTCACTCTCTCGGTCTGCTCATCCGTCTGTGGATGAACACTTGTCGAGAAGTTCAAGCTTGATCACATCAACTTGAACAACTCCTTCCAGAACCTCCCAGTGAACCTTGTGTCTCGATCACTGATAATCGTCTTTGGAATGCCCCAGTACTTCACCACGTGCTTTAGAAAAAGACGAGCGGCTTCCTCGGCTAGGCATACTTTGGATGCTGGGATAAAGGTACCATACTTGGAAAATCTATCGATCACTACCATGATGCTAGAAAATCCATCGGTAACCGGCAGACCGACAATAAAATCCATAGAAAGACTCTCCCATGGTCTTTCAGGGATTGGCAAAGGCTACAACAACCCAGCTGGTTTCTTTTGCTCAATCTTGTCTTGCTGGCACACAAGACATGTCTTCACATAGGCCTCAACATCATTGCCCATGTGCGGCCAATAATAGTGTTCGGCTATCAAGGCCAAAGTCCGGTGGATCCCCGGATGTCCCGCCCACTTGGAATCGTGACATTCATTCATGAGCTCTTTTCGTAATCCTTCAAATTGCGGCACATAGAGGCTGTGTCCTCGAGCATATAATTAGCCTCCCTCGAGCCAAAATTTTTGAGTCTTACCCTCAGTGGAAAGCTCCATTAACGAAGTGGCCATCGGATCATGTGACAACCCCTCCTTGATGCGTTCCCGCATCTGTCCTGTCGGCATACTGACGAACTCCATGTCGTACCTTCGGCTTAAGGCATCGACTACGAAATTTACTTTTCCGGATTTGTGCTCGAAGGAAAAATCAAACTCGACAAGAAATTCTTGCCATCGAGCCTGCTTCGGCGACAACTTCTTCTGGGTTAGGAAGTAACTGTTGGCAACATTGTCGGTAAACACTATGAACTTGGACCCAAGTAAATAATGTCGTCATGTGCGCAAGCAGTGCACAACTGCCATCATCTCCTTCTCATGGACCGTGTATCGCCTTTCGGTCTCGTTAAGCTTCCGACTTTCATAAGCAACCGGATGTCCTTCTTACATTAGGACGCCACTAATAGCAACGTCGGATGCATCGGTGAATACTTCGAAGGACTTGGTGTGATCAGACAACACCAAGACTGGCTCGCTTATCATAGCAAGCTTGAGTTCGTCAAAGGCACTTTGACACTTTGGGCTCCAATCCCACCTTTTGTCTTTCTTCAATAACTCGGTTAAGGGGGCGGCGATTTTAGAGTATCCTTTGATAAAACGCCGGTAATAGTTGGCAAACCCCAAGGATGACCTCAGCTCCGTCATCTTGGTTGGCACCTTCCATTCTTCAATGGCTCGAATCTTGTCCCTGTCCATCCAGATCTTGCCACCTCCAACAATATGGCCAAGGAAGGGGACCTCTGTTTGGGCAAATGAGAAATGAGCACTTCTCCTCTTTAACATAGAGCTCATTATCTCGCAACACCAAGAACACTTGCTTCAAGTGTTCGACATGCTCCTCCAACGTCTTGCTATAGATGACGATGTCGTCGAGGTAGACAACAACGAATCGATCCAAGAAGAGCTATAACACCTTGTTCATCAAGGTGCAGAAAGTGGCTGGAGAATTCGTGAGGCCAAAGGGCATCACAAGGTATTCATACGAACCGTACCTGGTCACACAGGCTATCTTCGGTTCATCTCCCTCGGCTATCTTTACTTGGTAATAGCCCGATCGCAAGTCCAACTTGGTGAACCACCTTGCACCACCAAGCTGATCGAACAAGTCCGCAATAAGAGGAATCGGGTACTTGTTCTTTACTGTGAGCTTATTCAAAACCCGGTAATCGATGCACATCCGCAAAGAACCATCGTGTTTCTTTTGAAACAACACCGAAGCTCCATAGGGGGACTTCGATGGTCGAATGTAACCAGCATTGAGGAGATCCTTCAATTGTCTGCGCATCTCTTTTAACTCGGGCGGAGCCATTCGGTAAGGGGCTCGAGCGAGTGGCTCCGCATTTGGCACAAGCTCAATCTTGTGATCTACCTCCCTCTTTGGAGGCAATTTCTTGGGTAACTCGGCAGGCATCACGTCTTTGAATTCTGCCAAAACGTGGCTCACCACGTCGGGAACATCTTTGGTTGTGGCTAGCTCGTCACACACCAAGACAACTAGGAAGATCGGTTCCTCCTTGCATACCTCCTTTAAGAATTGAATCACGGATAAAACTTTGGCCCCTACTTTTGACCCTCAGCTTACTGGAACGATACATTGTTGCTTTTGATCCAGGATGCACAAGCAATCGGGAAAGGGTACCGGGAAAGCATTGATCCTTTCCAAGAAACTTAAGCCAAGAACAAAATCGAAATCATCAAGAGGAATTACCTTAATGGTTTCTCTTCCAGACCATCCCCCAACGGTTAGCTCGATTCCTTTTGCGACCCCCGCAATCAGAACTTCTTCGGCATTCACGGTTTTGATGGAACCATTCACCTTCTCCACATGAAGGCCAAGTCTCTTGGCCACTGGTTCGGACATGAACAATTCTGAGGCACCGGTGTCCACTAGTGCATTCAGTTTTTGGCCAGCAACGTTGACGTCCACGAACATCAACCCCTTCTTCTTTCGACCCTTCTTGACCTCCATGGTGCTCAGAATGGAGCCAAGCTTAAGAGTCTCACTCTCTTCCTCATTTTTCTCCTTGATGGCTGAGAGTTTGTTCCTCTGCGAACAGTCCCTCGCCAAGTGCCCTTGGCCCTTGCAGTTGTAACATTGGATAATTGGCTTATCTTTCTTGTCGAAGTGTTTACTATTCGATGACCTTCCACTGCCACTCGAATCTTTGTCGGATCTGGATGCCCTGTCCCTATCACTACTGCTGTCTCGAAACTTTGGCTTTGGTTTGGAGTCCACACTCTTGACGCCAAGCTCAATGACTGACTCGGCCGTCGTCAAGGCAGTCGAGAGATCCTTGACCCCTCGTCGCCTTAGCTCGTTCTTCGCCCATGGTTTTAGCCCATCCATGAAGGTGAAGAACCCGTCCTCTTCACTTAAACTCGGGACTTGGAGATTTACTTCGGCGAACTTTCGAACATGCTCCCTTAATGACCCTTCTTGCTTGAGACGCCTCAGTTTGGACTGTGCCTCATATTCGGCATACTCCGGGTATAATTGTTCCTTGAACTCCGCTTGGAACTCTTTCCACGTTGCGATGGCATAAGTACTACGCTTCACATCGTTGCATCTACGTCGCTACCACATGAGGGCAACCTCGGACAAGTAAACGCTAGCGATACTTACTTTCTTGGCATCCTCCGTGATGTATGTGGCCGCAAAGTATTGGTCCAGCCCCCAAAGGAAATTCTCGACATCTTGGGCTGACCTGGACCCTTTGAACTTCTCCGGCTTAGGGATGTCGCCCAAGGTTTTGGGTGCAATCGTGGTTGCGCTATTTCCGAACGCAGCTTTGCACACCAACAACTCGGTCATGAGCAACTCGACCTCCCTCTTTAGCTTTGCCACCTCAGAATCGGAACCCTCACTCTTGAGTTCCTCAAATTCCTTCCTTAAAGCCACAACCATGGCTTCTAAGGAATCACCACGATCGGTTGTCCTTGCATCTAACTCGTTGAGTGAATCCTGAACCTCCTCCTTGATAGAATCCAATGAATCTAGCTTATCGAGATCTATCGATCCCAGCCTTTCAAGGTCTACGGACTCCAGCATGTCCAGCACTGCCCTGGCTTCCGTCATGGAACCTTCGAGCCTGGTAACCTTCTCCTGGAGGGATGCGAGAACATCTCTTGATGGTGCTCTCTTCTTTGCAGAATTTTGGGACTCATTTCCCTCAGAACCTCCCACATCACCATGTTGTGGTGCCATTTCTGTTAGCAAATTAAATTGAACGAGTTGTGAGTAAACAGAACTTACCCGGTTTCGTACCTTTCACCAAACTCGGTCGAAACGATTGTTGCTTGCCCACAACGGCACGCTCTGATACCACTTGTAACGAGGCTAGACTGCTGCTAGCAAGCTCGTGCGACCTTAGACGTTTTCTTGGTCGAAAACCGGCTAAGTGACCCGAACCTTCACTAAGCAAGAATGCTTAGAAAGTTGCTAACCCAAAAGAAATTGGGGAAAATAAAGAGATGGGCGATCTAAATGAAGAAGAGAGATTTGAGAGTGAATACTAGTTTGTATTTCTCAACTTGAGGTGTGTAAATGAAGGGGGTGAGCCTCCTTTTATAGTTGGAGTCCCCTACAATGAACGGTTGGGATTAAAATACATCAATGACCAAGATGAGAGCTCTACACTATTTACAACAAGTGGGCAATGAGTTGGCATCATTATCTTCTAAGATAATGCTAAATAATTATCATATCTCCAAGGTGGATTGGATCAGCTCACTTGGGTTTTCTAGAAGGCCCATAACGTGGTAAAGATAGTCTTTGGCAGCCTTGATTGTGTTGAGTTCGGTCATGGGCTGACGGTCTGTGACAAGAGCATCGGGTTCAAACTTTATCTCTCTAAAATGAGTTTTCTTTCTTTTAAGAGTTATTTCTCTCGTTAAAGAGAGAACACTAAAGTAGTTGTGGGCTGGCACTCGATTATGTTTTTGTTTATGTGGGGGGAAGAGGAGGAGAAGAAGGCAAAAGACAGAAACTTTGATTTTTAGGTAAAAAATAATTGATTTTTTCGTGTAAGAAAAAAGTATTTTTTCTATTTATTTTGTAAGGCAGAGAAAGAAAATATGTTTAAATAAAACAAAAAGTTTTATTTTTAAAAGGAAGAAAATTAAAGTAAATATTATTTCAATTTATTTCTCTCACAGTTAATAGAATATTTTAAATAAAACAAAAAGTTTTTTTAAAAGAGGAGAAACTAAATTACATAATCACCCACCGATGAAATCAAAATTTTTCCATCTGCATCTTTTTTATACTTTATACGTGATTTTGATTTTGATTTTATTAGAAAATATCATAATCTTCTCAAATGATAATAGATTCTTCGATTTTTTATCTTTCGATCTCTATCATCAATTGTCTGATAAGTCTGAAATTTGGCTATATTAATCAACTTGTTATTCTCTCGCGGTCCATCATTTAATTACTAAATACCCCGTAAGCCTATCTATTGAATTTTTAACAGTAAATACTAAAATGAAAAAAATATTAAATATTATGTATGATTTAAAAAAAATAATTATTAAAAAAATAAAATTGATAGTTTATGTATTAAATACATAGTTTATCTTAATTTTAACAAATAAGCTTGAATGATAAGTTTACAGCTGGTGAGAAAGTAAAGGAAGTAAATCCATTGGATGATTGACACGTGGAAGTGTTGTTGGGCTATCTATGTAGGTGTCTTGTTTGCTGTCACCTTTTGCAATCGACCTCTTTGAAATGTTCTCCCCACCTTTATTGAACCTTTCTAATTACTAATTTTAGGCTGATTTTTTTATTTCGTAAAGTAATACATTTTTATAATTATTTCTTCGTGTTTGTTATAGGACACTCTAAAGATGTATTGTAGTCTATGTGTCTCCTCTCCCAATCCTCTATATAAATTTGGGATAAATTTGGGAGAGACACATAGAATGTAATAAATTTCTGATATTTTTTTTATATTTTAGATAAAAAAAATAAATTATACGAGTGACCACTTAACTATGGTTAAAAATCATTTTGACAACCGATATTTTAATTTTATCAAACATACCATCCAATTATTTAAATAGTTTAATCAAGTCATTGACCGTTAACATTTTAACAGTGGAAGTGAGGTGACAATTAAAATTTAACTGAGAGAATGACTCTCAGTCAATTTTTTTAATATAATTATATATTTGGTCCTTGTTACTTACATAAGAGGTCAATTTGATCGTTAAATTCAATAAATTTAATCCTTTATTTTTGTTTTAACTTATTAAATATATTTTCTATAAATCATTTAATAATATGGAGCATTGGGTATGTAAATGTTTCGATCTCACCAGAAATATGGAACACATTGATGAATCGTTGAAACTCATCTTCTTATTTCAATATTTCTTTCCTTTTTCTCCTGTTTAAACATTGGGTTTCTTCTTTGCGCAGTGGTAAGTTAAAGCTGTTGGTATTTTTTTTGGTTTGGTTTCCGAGAAAACCGTAAGAAATGAAGAAAGAAAAGGAATTTTGCAAAGACACAATTTTATTATTTAAGATATATAAAATATTATTAAATATCAGTAAAGAATTTACATACTATAATACAATATATATACACTTATTGTCCATTATATATCAAATGATTAAATTTATTGAATTTAATTAAAATTAGGATTAAATTGACATCTAGTGTAAGTAACAAGGACTAAATATATAATTATACCAATAAGTTAACTTAGGAGTCATTATCTTGGTTAAATTTTAACTGTCACGCCACATTTGTTAAAATTTAATGGCCAGTGGCTTGATTGAACCATGACTTGATTGAACAATTTAAATAGTTAGGTGGTCTCTTTGATCAAATTGAAACATCGTTGCTCAAAATGATTTATGACCATAATTAAATGGTCACCCGTGTAGTTTACCCATAAAAAAAATTGGGAAGGCTAAATTGGGGGAAGGGAGAGACGCACTGTCATTGCACCATGTTGGGGAGGGGGACGCATTGTGGTATAGGGAAGCATGGTGTTTCATGTGATTTTAGAGAGACGTAGAACTCCAATATGTATTGTAGCATTCACCTCATTCGAGTAAATAATCTCTCGAGTGTATTATTTGAATAATTTTTTTTCGACTGCATTATTACAAAAATTCACCCAAATAAAAACATTGATTTCAAATGAGTTCATTGCATCATATATCCCCAAACTATAGTTCTTATTTCAAATTGGTCCTTATACTTTAAACATTTCAATTTCATCCTCAAACTATTACTCTAATTCTAAATTAATCCCCAAACTTTTGAATCTTCCAATTTCATCTCCATATTCATCCAACTATGTAATCAATTTCAACCATATTTCAACCTAAATTTTATTTTTCAAACATATAATAATATAACTTGGGCTGACAATTTTATTAATGAGGAATGTGATTAGTATATGCGTATAGTTTGGGATTAAATTGAAATGTTTAAAAAGTTTGAGGACTAATTTAGAATGAAGATTATAGTTTGGGGATGAAACTGAAATGCTCAAAAGTTTGATAACTAATTTAGAATGACAATCATAGTTTATGGATGAAATTGGAATATTTAAAAGTTTAGCAACCGATTTAGAACATAGGTCATAACTGACGGACATGAGATGCAATTAACCCAGTTTTTAAAAAGATACAAATTCAAGTTGGACAAGCTGTTTTCATTTGTATAATTTAAGTGAACAAATACAAATGTGATATAAAAAAAAAAAACCTTGCACTTTACACCCCAAACTTTTCTTATGATATTTATTACCCCATTTAAACCTTAAACCCCATGTTGGATTTATATACACAAGTGATGATTTAGTATGCCCTGATCTTTGCCAGTAGAGTGGCCTCTCACTTTTTCGATTTTGTTTCACCTGTTCGGACGGGTGGTGACGGCTGCGATCCGCCACCACCTAGAGCAGCAGCAGCGGATTCAACATGAGTAAGAAGATACTCGTATATTTTCTTCCTTAGCCGACTGATATTCTCGGATGAAACATGTGGAGTAGTCTCTTCTCCTTCCTCGTCGTTGTCTTTGCTTGAACTGATTTCGTCTAACCAGTCATTGACACTCTTCAGCTGTGTCAACATCCCAGCTATCTGATCATTATTGGATAAAGCGGATGTGTCGACGTCGGCATCCAAGAATTTCTCCACAAATCCTAAGAACCAATCCTGAGATTCCATTCGCAGCATTTCGGCCAAATCAACAGCCTCGTCAAGGCCATTTCCCCTTGTCCATTCCGGTGGTGGTTCGACTGGTAGTTTAGGGCCAAGGCCGGAAACATCCCCTGCTTTAGGGAGAATACCCTGTGCTACAAGCTTAGAACTGATTACCGGACGGGTTTTCGCTTGGGATTTTGCAGAAGCATTCTTAGAAATATTTTCCAGAATTAAAATGTTTTGATTGGCAGAGATAGCCTTCTGGCTTTGTGCAGTAAGAGAGTGCTAAGAGTTTTTGAGGTGATGTCAGGGTTACAAGTTAACATAAAGAAGAGCAGACTGTTTGGAGTAAACATATCTCCAGAGGAGGTTCAAAATTGGGCTGATTCAATTGGTTGTGATGTTGGTAGTTTCCCCTCTAACTATCTAGGTCTTCCACTAGGTACAACAAAGAATTCCTCATTTATTTGGGATCCGGTAGTGTAGAACTTTCAATCAAAATTGGCAGGTTGGAGGGAAGCTACTCTATCATTAGCTAGAAGATTGGTTTTGATCAAATCTGTTTTATGCTCACTGCCTACGTTTTTCCTGTCGATGTTTAAGATTTCAGCTTCAATTCTTAAGTCTCTCAATTCTATTATGGCTAATTTTCTATGGGGAGGTGGCATTGGTAAGAATAAAATTCATTGGGTTAATTGGGAGGAAGTGTGTAAACCCAAGAATGAGGGCGGATTGGGAGTTCGTAATCTGAGTTGCATGAACAGAGCATTGCTAGGGAAATGGTCTTGGAGGTTTGCAAACGAAAGAAATTTTGTTTGGAGGAGGTTTGTTTGTTCTAAATATAACTTTGATTCCTCAAGGCTTTTGTTCGATAGTAAGCTTCCATGTTCTATTTCTTGGCAGTGGAGATCAGTGACTAATAATTATTTCAAGCAAGACTCCTTTGGTTTAAAGTTCTGTTCTTTATGTTATTTTCAAGTTGGGGATGGTAAACACATTCTTTTTTGGCAGGATGTTTGGGCTTCAGATTATCCGTTAAAGGTCCTATTCCCAAGACTGTTTTCGATTGCTGCTAATAATTCAGGAAAACTATGTGAATTTGGGAAATTCCATTCATCGGGTTGGTTTTGGGATGTTCAAGTTAGAAGAAATTTAAATGATTGGGAGATGGAACAATGGTGTAATTTGATGAGCATTATTTCTCATGTTTATCTGTCTAAAGATTCCAAGGATGGCTTGCTTTGGAAAGGTAGTGGGGATGGTATATTTTCAGTCAACTCGTGTTAAGAGTTGTGCTACAGGTTCAGAGGAGTCTCAATTCTGGTTGAAAATTGTTTGGCGAGTAGTACCACCAAAGGTTGAAACATTTCTGTGGCAAATTGTAAAGCAAAAACTGGTTGTTAAATCTGAATTGATTAAAAGAGGAGTTCAAGGTATTGATGATGTTTTATGTCCTCTTTGTAAAAAGATTGAAGAGTCTTCCTCGCATCTATTATTTACTTGTCCAGTAGTGTGGTTATTATGGAACAAATTTTTACAGTTTTGGAATTTCAGTTCTGTTTTTCATGCAGATGCTAAAACGTTTCTATTATGTTGGGATGAGTTGAAGTCTAATTCTACAATTTGGTCTTTCATTCCTGGGGCTGTTATTTGGACTATTTGGAAAACCAGAAATTTTATTGTTTTTGAAGGGGGAAAGCTAGACCAGTTAGAAATGTTCTTCTTAGCAAGGGTTAGGCTTGCCTCGTGGTTTTTAGCTAAGTATAAGGACATCTCTATTCCTAAAGACTCTTTAATTTATGACCCTTCTTTAGGGGATTTACACTCGTCCTACAATTTCATGAAGTCCTCTGTATTAACCTGGCTTCCTCCTCCTATAGGCTTCATAAAATTGAATGTGGATGCTGCCACCACCAGTGATTGGTTGAAAAGCGGACTAGGAGGTATTTTAAGGATCATTCGGGAGCAATTTTAGGTTCTTTTCAAGAGCCTAATGGTCGGACCTCAACATTAAAGGAACTCAAAGCTATCCAAAGGGGTCTGATTTTCGTCGCTTCTTTCAAGGGAGGATAATGTTCGACTGATTGTTGAAAGCGACAGTAAGGTAGCAGTGGACTGGATTAACATTGTTGATTCTTATCCAGTTGTGTATGCTGTTATTGTTAAGGATATTGTTGATAATCTTAGGGTTTGTTCCTATCAAAAAATAATAATCTTAGGGTTTGTGGGGGGATTGTTAGATGGGTTGTTAGGTTAGCTAATTCGGATGCTGATGCCTTAGCAAAGGTTGGTATAGGCTGAATTTTATGTGTTTTGTACTGATCAAGTGGGTTTCTTGTTCTTGATCAGAAGGGAGTTATGACTATTTGTAAGGGTTTATGGGATTTTATCTAGGTTGTAATCCTACTTTATTTTAATAAAGTTCTAAGGCGCTCTTTTCCATCTGTCGCTGATTAAGGAGCTTATTCATAAGCTCCATTAATCAAGAAGGTGGTTTTTAATGAGACCTTCAAATCTTATCAAAAAAAAGATCAATAAGCCTCAACAAAATCATTTAAAAGGAAATACCCTCAATTTTAGTTTGCTGATGGCCTTGTAACAAAAACTATCAAACCAAGAAATTCAAATAACAGCGCATGTTATATCAGACTTCACAGATAATTTATGATGTTTTGGGGTATTAATTCAAAAATTATCCATTCTTCCACATTGAAAGCTTCCAGAGACTTCAACAGCTTATAGTATAGCAGATTGACAGAGACAAGCTTCAAATGCTTCATCAGATATGCATTTGCGGTGAAAATAGCCAGGTTAAATCAGAACATGGAGAATATGTGAACACTTAAAAAATATAAGAGACTCATGTCATAACCTGTACATCTAATACATAGTCTAGCATATGTGCTCAGCCATGATGCCCAGTCTTCCCAAGTGGCAGGAAAGAATAAACTTTTCTGTAGTACATAGGATCAGCTGCATGGATTTTATACTAATATGCCCCAAAAGAAGATGCCACAACACAATAAGATTTGAAAACGTATTATACTCAAAAAAATGAGAGGGAAAAAATGGGCAGGGCAGAAAATGATGTTTGACACTTACTCCATGAGAAAGACATGACCATCTTTCACAGAAAGATCAGATTTCTTCTTAAATGCCCCGGGAGGCCGTAAAGACTTATTCTCTCGCGGAAGTTTTTGTGCCCTTGGCCACAAATGTATTCTAGTGCGAATAAGATGAAGCAGAGAATTTGGTTGAACATTTTGGGCAGCAAGAGACTTATCGTCTTCAAGCTCCTTCCCAAGATAAAATATTTTTACTGTTTCTGATGGCTTGAAATCTACAAGAAAATTGTCCAAAATGAACTTTAAGAAAATTATCCAGACATTATAAAATTCACAAAGCAATAACTAAAAAGCAAGCATCTTCTGGATAACAGCTAAAGTACAGTGGATAAACATGTTAAAAACAATCTTTGTGTACCTAGCTTTTTAGAAGCCTTTGCTTTAACAGAAGAGACAGTTTCCTCAGCATCGACATGTAGTTTGCTACCTTTGCCTCCCAAGCTCTTCAATATGACTTTCATGGATCGTTGGGTTGGCAGCCTCCCCTGTTGCCAAACAGCCACCTCAATATCATGTGGATACCATATCGCTCTTGGACGGTGAAAATTTGCTATATCTTTACTGCAAAACCACAGATTATACTCAAAGGCTGAAATCTAACGGGTACATACTCATAGTACTGAACGGAAAGTACAGTGCAAGAGCCATGAGAAATAACATAAAACGAAATGTTTAGTTAGGAATACACCAATTGTAGCATCACTTTATTCTAATTACCAAAACTACTTATATAGAGAGAAGAAGATAAAATATCTGGCAAGATCAAAGTTTATTCAGCTAAATTACTGCCACCTACCCAAGAGTAATTGTAATAGACAGCTGAAAATTTTGTAGATTGTAACAAGACCAGAAACCATCAGCCACTAGTGAGCTATTAACTATTATAATCAGAAACCAAATATAAGAAACCTTTAATCAAAAGCGTTCTGCTTTTGCTCATAACGAATATTTTGAGTGTCTACTTTCTAAAATATCTAAATTTACAGCAAATACACATCCATTAGGGCTGCATTGGAGTCTCGAAAACTTATAAAAACATTTATTATTACAGCCATGGTACCCCAAATATTCCCAAATCATGCAAATAAATTTCATACTTAAAGTTTAGTAAAATAGGCAGCAGGTTCTTTGCAGTCTCCACGATCTAAGCGTTGAAAACCTCACCCTAATACCACCTAATGTAACCCCCAAACCCGGCTCAAGAGTTGTCACTTTCCGAAGGTCACTTGAGTCACTGATGTGACACTGTTCGTTTAACGACTCAAATCACTCGACATTTAAACCATTTAACGAATACTGTACACAAATGTGAAAGCTAAATATACAAAAATACAATCATGTAAACTTAGAAAGAGTCACCCCTAATGATAGAGCAACTCATACTAAACAAAATAACATTTTTAAACTATAAGTGTGTTTTGGTAATTTTGACCAAAACTGAGTATATCGTATAAAATCAGATGATAATGGATTTTTTGGAGTAATAGACTCATTTTAGGATACTACTGAAAATAGTAGCTCAATCGGATTTGATAAACTTGCTCAATTTTGTTTGTAAACAAAATACTAGGGTAATAATGGGCATAGTTTTTTTTTTTCTCTCGGATAAATAACAGAAGCAGAGGGATTTGTTTGATTAAGAGAAGAGAGGCAGATTGCTCCAATTTCTCTAGTTTGAGTATCCTTGGCTTTGGAGGGGTGCATAGATCCCACAAAACCACTTTAAAAGGGAAATTTTCAAAATTAGACTAGTTGGGAAGATTTGAAACTATAAAAACAGCAGTGCTGATATTCTAATATTCCCGTCATATAAAATAAATTATGGGTTAACAATTCCAACCCTTAGAAAGCCTTACCAACAAAGTCAGTAAATTAACCCTCCGGTCTCAAGCAACCCAAATATGGGGAACCTTGGATTACCTTTCTCCGTCTTCTCTTATCTCTCAGATTCCTCTCCTTTCCTTCCCTAGTAGTTGACAAGCATAGGATATTTTCGTCTATCCTCCTTTCTATTCACTTTTCACAAATTAGAAGAAACTACTTCGATAAAAGAAACTCAGATTCATTTTAGTAGATCGAGCAAATAGACAACTATTGTTATATTGTCAATAAATTTAAGCCTAAGAAGAAATGCAATATTTTGTATGAATTTTGAACCGAACACAATCACAAAGGAAAGGACAGTTTACAGTACATAGATCAACAGGACAGCAAAATGAACACATAGGTATGCACCAAAAACTACCAAAGGAGTAGACATGAATTAAAACAGTAAAATGATATTAACAGGAAGACTTACTTGCTCAACTTCAACTTCATTGTTTGAAGCTTAAGTGCAGGTGCTGAATGATGAACTCTGACGCCATGAGCCATGCGTTTATTAGAATTTGATTGTAACTGCTGTGAAACTTTACGGTTGACGTAGAACTTATCATTAGCAATATTGAATTGCCAACCAGGTTGATATTTATGATCTGAGACCTCATAAGAACGACTGTTTGGCTTTGCAGGTCGAGTAATAACCATAGCCCCTGAATGAAGCTGAAGATGTTTACTTTCTTTGTCATCTAAAATTTCAAAAAGCATCTGCTCATCTTGAAGATCGAGAATTAGCTTAGGCCTTGCAATAACACTATGTGGTTCCCATATAATATTGTCTAACCATGACCCTTCAATTATATCTTTATTTTGCAACTCAAGTTTTCTAAAACATTTCACCACATCTGTTTTATTGGGATCTTTGGTAACATATTCGCTTTTACTTTCAGAACCATTTAAGGAATCTACTCCCAACTTAGATTCCAGCCTCAAGAGTTGGGGATGGAATCTGCTTTCCAGTGACGGCAGGTCCATGGATTCTGAATGAGATTTTGATTCAAACGATTCCAAGACAACAGAGGAATGACAAAGGCCACCATCATGGTCCTTCTCATAGAATTCTACAGACTGCTCGGTAAATAGATTTTGCCCAGTCTGTGGAATGGTCTCTATTGAAACTGAGGCCTCCAAATCAGAGACAGAAATCTCAGGACTCTTCAAAGAATTGCCGTCTGTTGCAGGAGAATAGTCCCAAACAATTTGTTCTTCCCAGTCCAATTGGTCAAGTGGAAAATATCTCGGACATGAGGGTGACTGCCATCCAGAAGCAAAATTTAATACTGCCTCCTCTTTCATTTCTTCAGGTTTTGAGTAACTATCCTTAACATGTTCTTCACTATGTGCACAAATTTCCAAACTTCCTTCTACCAGAGGTTCATCTGTAAATTCGGATATATCATGTTGGATTGCCTTTTCCCAACCAATAAATGAGAAACCTTGACCAGTGTCCTTTAGAAACGCCTCTTCATCCTCTTCAACAAGATCAGAAGCATCCATAGATTTGTACTTCTCTGGACAAATGAAGTGGAAAACCAAAAATTACAACTGGTGAAAATGAAGCGATCTAGGAAACTGACAACTAAAGAAACCAAGATATATTATTCATTTCTTGCTTTTATAATGGAAGAAGTGGTTTCCAATGAACAAAAACTGCTCCACATTAATGGCCAAGAATAATGACCAAAGGAAGCAAAAAGAATTAGGTGCATATGAACTCAAAATTGATGTCAGAAGACCACTACAAGATTTAACAGCACATATTAAGAATTAAAAAGAAAAATATCATAGGCAACATACCTCTATGAGTGAAATAGCCACGGTCTCTTTTGCTTGCTTTCTTCAAGGGCTCATGGATACCAAATATTTCAGAAAACCGTAAGATCACCACACCATCTTCTACACATAAAACAGGAAGAGGTGTCGAACCTTTGGAATCTAAAGGCTCTTCTGGAGCATCAGGTACCTCCTGTTGCGACATTTAGAATAAATTACATCTTTCTTTATCAAATGAAAATCAAGAACTGAAAGAAAAAAAATACATTTCCTGTTAATTTGTCATAGTTGAGCACTTAAAGAACAAAACTAAAGAATAAGAAGCAATTTCCTATTCTAAGTTTTTGAACAGCAACCTCGTTGTGACTTATGTCTAGTAAAGTTATTGAAAGGAAACATTGGAAATCAGATAGCAAGCATTCCATGGTCGTCCTTTCTCCAAACTCTCTAATAGCAGTCAAAAGGGGGAGCTAATACAACAGATCCATATACAAACATTTCATTATAACTACAAAGCAATTAGAGGGATAATGCTCAGGTCTAATAATAATTCTAAAGTAGACCAAAACTGAATTAACAGCATGAGAATTTACAGCTAAACGGTAGACCGTATTTTAATTGCAAACACCAACTATAACCCTGATGTCTCTATACATAAAAATTAAATAATGTGCTAGATAATATTATTTTACATTATATCTATTGAAAAACTGATATTTAATTGGGGGTCTTATTAAGTTAAATAAAATCAAAGGCTCAGGCTTCCCTTCATTACACAACTTGAGGCAATTTTCTCTGAGATGACATTCCAAAAAGAATATCTGCCCACAGAAAATCATGGTTTTCCAAATATTTCTTACAGTTCTCAAAGACAGATTAAACTTAAATTCTAAAGATATATGTACGTAAAATAGACACCTGAAAATCTTCAGTACCATCTGCTTGATCTCCACTATCTGAAGAACCACCATGTACTTCATGCCCAGGAGATTTTTCCACTTCAAATGATACTGCAAGATGCTCTTCCTGCTCAACTAACAAAAAGGGTGCAAAAATTCAGTCAAATGAAGAACAAAGCTAGGATTTATCATAAACACTGAAGTCAAAGGTGAAAGATGCCATAAAAGCACCTGACAATTGCTTTGGCATATTTTCCAAGAAAAGTACATGGTAAAGAATTAAACACATTCTAAAATAAGTCGAAAATATCTAATAAAAATGAACTTTATCTGTATTACAGATTAATATGTAAGCTATTCAATTTCCTGTTTATAACAATGAAAGATAATATGTAAACTAATCATTTTGCAGATTAACCAGAACCAGAAGAGGGTAACCACTAGAATTTGATCCTAAAGAAACTAGCATATGGAAAGTTTAACTTAATAAACTCAGTAAAAACAGATTATATAAATCTGGAAAAAAGGAAAAACGATATCATGGATAAAGAGAATCTAACTCGATTTCCATAAATAAGTACATAATCACCTAGATTTAACCCATAAAAAATGAAAAGCATTTGTCTATGAACTAGAAACATCAAACTAGAAATCTTTTCATATTCTGTTAATTTAGAGAATACTTGGAAGAACGAAGACATCACTTCCACCTATCAAGAGAGAGCATATTGTAAAGAAAATAAGAGTAAGCTATTTGGTATTAATGTGGAAGAGGAAGTTTTATCAGAATGGGCATCTTCGGTGGGCTGTTCTATTGATTCCCTTCCAACAGATTACTTGGGACTTCCTCTAGGTGCTAAGAAAAACTCAGAAGCCTTATGGGATCCAGTTTTCAAGAATTTTAGTTCCAAACTAGCCGGCTGGAAAGCTAATTGTCTCTCATTGGCTGGCAGGACAGTTTTATTGAAGTCGGTGTTAACATCCCTACCAATATTCTTCTTATCTCTTTTTAGAATGCCTCGTAAAATTGGTAAGAAGCTCAATTCATTAATGGCCAGTTTCCTATGGGGGGGATAATGAGGAAAAAAGGAAGATACACTGGGTTAATTGGAAATCAGTCTGCAAGCCTCTAAAATCTGGTGGCCTTGGTGTTCTATATTTGAACCTATCTAATCGGGCTCTTTTGGGAAAATGGGTGTGGAAGTTCGCCAATGAAAAAAATACTTTGTGGAAAAGTGTGTTATGCTGCAGGCACAAGGTAAGTAGTAATTCCATGTCTATTAGCAAGGTTTTTTCGCCCAAATCTTCTTGGATTTGGAGAGGGATTGCCAACAATTTCCTGAAGAGCGACTCGGAGGGTGAACGTATCAGATCAAACTCCAAGTTGAAACTGGGAAATGGAAAGTCTATTGCATTTTGGACGGATACATGGGCTGATGAGTCTCCTTTAAAAAATCTTTTCCCTAGAATGCATGTGTTGTCTACAAATAAATGGGGTATGGTCGCTGAGTTTGGAAGTTCAGATTCGAACGGTTGGGTGTGGAACATCGAAACCAGAAGGAATTTGTGTGACTGGGAGTTGGATCAGTGGCTGGATTTAATGACAAAACTGAAGGACTTTAAACTGACTGATTCAGTTGAAGACTTTCTTTCTTGGTCTGCAAGCGGGGATGGACTGTTTTCAGTGAAATCTTGTAGAAAGGAACTCGGCAAGGTGTCTGGGGGGTCCGATTTATGGGTAAAAGGGGTGTGGCAGGGTTTATCTCCTCCTCGTGTTGAAGTCTTCCTGTGGCAGCTAGCTCATCAGAAAGTGGCAGTGAGAGAGGAGTTGGTGAAAAGAGGTTTGCAGCTAGGGGATGAAATTCTATGTCCGTTTTGTAAAAAACAGGTGGAATCAGTTCAGCATTTATTTATTTCGTGTGATGTTGTTTGGGAACTTTGGAACAAGATAGCAAGCTTTTGGGATATAACCTTAGTCCTTCCAAAGGATCCACCTTCTTTGCTATGAATCGTTGATTTGGAAATTTATCCCGGGAGTAGTATTTTGGTCGAATTGGAAAGCTAGGAATGCGATGGTGTTCGAAGGTTCCCACTTGGATAGGATGTCTCTGTTTTTTATTGCTAGATTCAGGTTATCTAAATGGTTTCTAGCCAAGTATCCTAAGTTTCCTATTCAGGAGGATGTGCTGATTGGTGATCCATTTCTTGCAGATGGTATTAAAGCTCTCAACCTTAACAATTTTCAGGTTTCTCGCTGGATTCCACCCCCTATGGATTTTTTGAAGATGAATGTCGATGGAGTTGTTAGACTTGATGGCTCAAATGGAGGTATAAGAGGTATTTTGAGAGACTGGAATAGCAACTCCCTTCTGACTTTTTCAGAAAATGTAGGCCAGGGTCCCCCACCGGTTGCTGAGTTAAAGGCTATTAAGAGAGGCATTGAAATCTATGTCTTCTTGTTGGGTTAATGTTGGAAGGTTGATTGTGGAAAGTGACTGTAAGTCGGCTGTGGAATGGGTCTATACCCCAGCTTTGGCCCCTGTTTTTATCCTCCCATTAGTTAAAGAGATTTCATCTTTTATCTCGGACAGGGTGCACTCAATTAGATTGATTCCAAGGGTGTGTAATGGAGGCTGATAGTTTAGCAAAGATGGGAATTGGTTGATGTTTAGTCGTTTCCAGTGCGTTGTATCGTTTGAGTTTTAGGTTTTTGGTTGTCTGTTGAGTAGCTTAGTCTGTTTCGTTTTTTCAGTATGGTGTTTATATTAAATCTAATGTAATTTCGGAGGAGTAATAAAGTTTCTAAGGCACTCTTTTCCTCCTTCTTTAATCAAGAAGGAGGTTTTTAAGGAGGCATGTCATTCTTATCAAAAAAAAATCTATATTCACAGACCAGCATGGAAAGTAATTAAACCGTGGTTTAACAGTTAAACAGCAAAGCAATAACCAAACAAGAAACCAGCTTTTGATAAGTTTGTTATGCATGTAAAGACTAAAGAGGCTTAAAATCTCATTTTATAGTTACACACACAGATACACTTGTAGCACACAATTTGCAGCAAGATAAAAAAAGAAATTCATGAAAGTTAATACAGGAAATTTGTACAAAAGATACAATTAATAAATTAGAAAATATGAGCTTTCTAAGTTAATTGATAAAATTACAAAATAATGATCAATCAGGAGAAACCACTGTCCACGCTGGGTAGAATCCATAGATGTTTGTTTTCCGTAGGGTGTTTGTTTTCAGTCTTATGTATCAGTGTTATGTTGTATCAGTAGGTTTTGGTTCTGGTTGTGTATTATTTTTTTTTTTTTGATAGGAATTGTAGGCCTCATTAAAAACCCCCTTCTTGATTAAGGAACTTATAATGAGTTCCTTCATCAGAGGAAGGAGGAAAAGAGTGCCTTAAACTTCATTAATGATAATACCTAAGATTACAACAAGAAGAAGCCCCTTACAACAATTTGAAAAACCCAAAATAAATACCCCTAAGATACACTGGAATTAGCCAATGGCAGATTTAGCCATCCCATCAGCCTCAATATTGGCTGCCCTAGCAACCCATCTAATAACACCCTCAACTTCTTTTAGCTTGATAGTTATGTTCCTTACAAGACTGACAAAAATCTGAGGGCAGAAAGTTCCATTCTTAACCCAATCCACGGCCAATTTGCAGTCTGATTCTAACAATAAACGACCATTAATACCTCCTTTCACTGAATCAAAGAAAATTAAGCCCTTCTGAATAGCCCTTAGCTCCATCATAATAGGTGGACCTGGACCCGTGGCCTCCTTAAAAGATCCTAGAATAGACCTTCCTCATCTCTTAGAATACCGCAACTCCACTGCTGTTCCAATCCGAATTTGTAGCAGCATCCACATTCAATTTTACAAAGCCCTTAGGAGGGGGGGACCAAGGAACTGTAGTAACCATCGATTTGTTGAGAGGGAAGCATGAATCCCCAAGAGACGGGTCCCCGATTAGAGAATCCATTGAAATACCAGAATCTGCAAACTTAGCTGAGAACCAAGATGCAAGTCGTACTCTTGCTAAGAAAAATAGATTAAGATGGTCAAACTTCCTCTATCAAAAACAATATCATTTCTTACCTTCCAAAAGTCCAAATAACAACGGCAGGAATGAACTTCCAAATGGTAGACCTAGGATTAAGATCTTCCCAAGCTTGAAGAAACTTCTGCGCATTTGTATGAAACCACAAAAAGACTCCAATACTGCACAAATTTGTTCCAAAGTGACCCACAACTGAACACGAGAAAATAAGTGAGAAGATTCAACCTCCAAATTACATAAAGGAAGAAGGATTGTTATACCCGTAACCCCTCTCTTAACAGTTCAGACCACTGGCAGTTTTGAAGAACTACTGCCACATGAATACCTCAACTCTTGGTGGCACCAGACCTTTCCACAAATTTCTTCCAAACATAATCCTTCTGAGCCAAAGAACAAGTCTTCACACATGAATTAGCAGAATAGACACCAATTCCGTTTCCTTTCCAAATCAGACCATCGATTGCCTGACAGATAAAAATTAGAAATGATAGCCATCAGGTTAGCCCACTGTTCAAATTCCCAATCGGCTAAGCTTCTCCTCAACTGAATATTCCAGATCCATCCCAAAGAGCTGAACTCGCCAAATTCAATCAGTTTTCCAAGCTGGTTTGTAGAGATTGCGAACAACCTCGGAAAAGAAACCTTAAGAGGACAGTCCATTGCCCATTTGTCCTGCCAAAACTGAATAAATTGACCATTCCCAACTTCTAGTCTGAACATGCTGCGAAAATAGCAACCAAAAGAGTCTTCTTTAAAATAAGAATTCACCACCGAGCTCCAAATCCAAGAAGCTTGAGCTGGGATTTTGCGATTGAACAATAAAGAAAAAGGATCAATATTGTATTTTGAACAGATCATTCTCCTCCAAACAGCATCCTTGTCATTTGCAAATCTCCAAGACCATTTCCCCAATAGTGCCCTGTTCATATTGCTAATATTTAACACTCCTAAACCACCAGCCTCCTTTGGCTTACACGTTAAGCCAACTAACCCAATGAATCTTATTTTCTCCGCTCCTCCTCCCCATAAGAAGACATGATTGAGTTGAGTTTAGAAGTT